GAAAGAGTATTTGCATAACATTAACGATAACGGTGTACGTTCTAGCATTATTTTATACTAATGCGTACTGTAATGTTTTAAAACTTAAGAAACGCGTAGAGTTAGAATCGTCTTCCTCTTCGACCTCTTAAGCAAAAAGTTGTTTGAAATTGCGAACTTTTAGAATAAAAATTAGATCGAAAGAAACGAACGCCGCCGAAACCAAATCCAAGGTTGGCCAAGCAAGGAAAAGGGATAAATATATTATATCGCTAACAATGGAGCCTATTTCCTAAGAGTTATAAGCTTTTTGTAATTAGTTCGAGTTTGATTAAATTTATATGAAGCAACCGACCACGCGCTAATAGCAACGTAAACGAGAAAGAAAAAAAGAAACCAAGTTGCGTTACGCTAGAGGAAAGATTACACAAAGATCTGACCAGATTTTAACTATTAACCCATTAGTATTCACAGATGAAATTCGTGCACAGTTACATCCGAATCCGTCGTAGGTGTGTAGGTGTCCCTTCCCAAATAAACGTTTACTGTTGATGAAGTCGATCTTAGTAGTAATTGAACAAAAACTATTAACAAATTCGGACTATGCGCCGTTGTTACATGTATATATGTACATACGATAAGTCCTTTAGATTATATTACATGTATTATATATATATACACATACACACACATACATACATACATACATACATACATACACACACACACATACAGTCACGCAGAATACTATAAACTGAATTAGTGCAAAGGGCACAAATGTAATATTTAAATCTTAAAAAAAAAAACGAAAAGAAAACGGCATCCGATTATAATAAATTAACAAATGGTGTGAAGACTACTACTATAATTATTTATAAAGAAAAGATTAAGAATTTATGATAGGTAGTATAATATTGTATTTTACAAATTTTACTTGATAATTATATTAAAGAGAAAAACAAACAAACATTGAATATATAGTTACATTAGAGAACAGGAGGCTGTTGAGTCCAATTTTAAAAAGTCGCGGGACAAAGAGAAAGAGTTGGGAATTGAACGAAAATCAACATGTCAAGCATATAAATAATTGACAAATAATTGAAAGCTGTGAAATTTTTATTCTATGGTGGTGTGCAATTACAAATACAATAATTATATTTGCCTACATGTCCATGTATGATTTTCTAAGCACGTGCAATCATATTGACGAAAACTAACCATTTAAAAAAAAAAAATAATTAATGTATAAATTGAATTCAAACACAGCTTCGAGAAATTCCTCTTCGTTGAATGCTTTCCTTGGATATTAAACTTTCGTGAAAATATTAACGATAACTGGAAACTAACTCAATTCGATTAAGTAATTCGCTGATCAGATATACTTAAAAACAAAGTGAGAAAACATATTTTCCAAAAAGAAACAGAGATGTTATCTCTGTTTACTGTTTAGTTTTCGTTAGGCATACAACAGCCTCCTGCTCTTTGATCGATTCGCAAAGCTGGTAGTGTCTTTGCGCCACAAAAATCGTGTATCTGTTTAGTTATCACACGTACGTGCATACCTAATATAAATAGAAGTTATATAAATAAAAAAAAGAAAATACATTATCTTAGGATTAGCTGCTTGGGATAGTTTCCTTTATTCGTCGAACGTTTAACGATCGAATTGAACGATTATACACCATTACACGCCGTATAATGTAATAGAGAGTTTACTACTGCTAATTTTATTATTTTTACACCTATAAGATATATTTCAGTTGTATACTGTTTAATGTACAATCTCTATTGTCTTCTTTAATTATAACGTGTGTCTTCGGACCGTTCGTTTTTAGGGTGCGCTTCAAGGAAAATGCGAATTCCTGTGTGTCTTCGTTCGATCGAACGCTCGAATGGTCGTTAATAATCGAGTACGTTTCTACAAAGTATTCTTACATACAATTCGTGGCTGCGTCATGTATCAATCCTAAAACTTAATCTCTTTGATAGAAAAGAAGAAAAAAAAATAAACTAATCACCGTGAACATATATGTAAGAGAACTTTAAAATTGTTCGATATGTCCGAAGACTCGTTTTTTATCCAACTTTTAATCTCACCGAATAAAAAGAAAAAAAAAAGAAAACAAAATACGCGAAATCGATTTTTCCAGACGATGTATAGGTACATCCATATACATATATTTATATTGCTTTTATGCATGGCACATCCGCATTTAGTGGAATTCTATATATTTCGTACGAAATATATATTTGTGATATAAACACAGTGATTCGATCTCAAAACTGGATAAACGTTTCAAACGTAATCTATAGTAACTCAAAAGAGATGCGTTAATTTTTGCATGTGTACCAAACATTTTCGCATTTACGAGTGTTTCCTTGAAACGTAAACTGACGAAGTGTCTTGTCAAGACAACAGTAAATGTGGTGCAGTTTAGCTTTTCTTTTCATAAGGGTCTAGACCAAACGCAATTATTATATTACATGTTGTAGCCTAAATACAAACATTTTGTAATAAAATTCAATATATTGAAATAATATCATAGGATGCTTTTCTCTCTCTTTGAAGCATTCAATTCAATGCTTGTCGATGTCGGAGCAATTTTATTTATTTGTTTTCAACTGTGTATTACTTCGTAGCGATACGAAACTATGATATTACAAGTATGCATTTTTTCAAGTCAATTATTTATTTTAAAACGTATGTCAGGCAATTATTTTAACTCGTCTTAAAAACGTTAACTTTTTCCCATAGCAAATAGGAAAAGTAGTATCGCAACACTGCATGTTATCTGTTCATTATTATATAATATTTTAAGTAAACTTAAATATAAGTATAAAGTATTTTCACAGTTTCTTTTAAATCAAATGCACATAAAACATACTTCGAACAGACATTCAGCATAATGTTATATCGAAAGAAAAATCTCTTAGATCTATTGTGCAAAGTATTTTATAACAAATACGATGATCTTTTATTATGTATACAATGATTGTAATGAAAATAAGAAAACTTAGAATAAGCTTTGCAATCTAGGTTGCTGTTTTGGTATATAACACTGAATATCATTTAACAATCTTAACTTTATTATGAAATACTTTTTCATTGGAGGGTTTCACTTCACCAAATCTGGCTTTTCTCTTTTCTATTCTAGCTTCCAATTCGGCCTGAAATCAAGTACGATTACAAGAGTTATATGTTACGCATATACGTTTAAATATAATTTCACGTTATAAATTTTTTATTTTCTTTGCTTGATTACCTTCTCCATTAAATTAGAAACTGATGTGCCGAACCTTTCTGCCCGTTTCTTTAAAACATCGTATGTTGTGTGCTGTAAATGTACATAATAAATTAAGCACATCTAAAGTTCACACACGATATTTTAATTATATTAAAGCAAGAATATATACCACAGGTGTTTTTACAGAAGCAGCTGACTTATTATTTTGATTATTAATACTGAATCTTGCAGATCTGACTTCCTTTCTGGCAGCCTCTGATAATGGCAATCCAAATTTCTTGGCCCTCATTTCTAATCTCTATTTAAATAAATAACACAAACTGCGTTAATCTCTTAATTTTCAATTCATGTAACACGAAATAGAGGAAGAGTTCTTACCTCTTTGACACCAAGCTCTGATAATTTAATAATCTTTTTTTCCTGTGGTGCAGCATCGATTGTTTTTGTATCAATCTCTGTTTTTTCTATTAAATCATTCTTAACTTCTTCAATGACTGGTTTACGATTTAGAACTATTTTTTTTGCACTCATATTACTCTCTGTAGATAATTTCCTTTTTTCATTTGATTCTTGTGAATCTGGTTTACTTGATAACTCTTCTATTTCTTCATCCTATATAAAGAGAAGTGTTCATTGAGTTTATATTATTATAGCCAAGTCAAATAAATAGTTCATCGTCAACTTACACCAAGGACGGCATCTTCATCTAAAATCTCTTCTGCTGTTTCGTCCAAAGATAGTGCCGAATCTAACAATGAAAAACATTGTTCTATCAATATTTAATTTTTACAAATAAAAATATGTATATTGAAATTCAATTAAAAACATATACCACCATGAATTGCTAATTGAAGCCTCTCGACCAGCTCATTTTTATTACCAGTGGTAGGAAGTCCCCTTTGTTTTAATTCAATTTTCAAGTCTGCAACCTATTGAATAACATTCATGTAGATTGTTTAAAATAATATACATTTTCTGTTGAAAGCAACAAATGAAAAGCACGCGACATTGTCTACGAACAGTTGCATGCATAACAAGAAAATTAACGCAAATGAAATCATTCTGTATCGTAAAGAGGAAAGTATTATCTTTTAATTTTAAGGTTAACTTCCCGGCTATAAAATCATACATGAAGAATGTACAAAGGCTACCTTCATTTTCGAAAGTTCCGTGAGTCCTTTTTCATAAGATGAGTCAGCCATAATGCATCTGTATTACTCTATTTCAACAGATAAGTCTTTTCGGTTCACGATTAACATGTCACAATTTTTTCGCAAAATACTCTACAAAGCAGAGAGTAAATTAAACCAAACTATACAACATAGAATGTTCATGAATTCAATATCGCTTACTTTCGCAACTACGACTTCAGCGTACTCTGGTCGTAGGCCTGTGAAGCGAAAATATTACCATAAAACAGTGGCGCTATCCGTGGTAAAATGCCCAAGTTTGTAGTGAAAATAGTTCCTGCTATGTCTATAAGATAGCGCCACCGATACTTTTAATAAATTGTTTTATTTGTCGTAAATGCATAATTAATAGGATTCTGTGTTTTAGAAACAACAATATATTCACTAATATATCATATGTATCATCTGTATGAATAGTTCTTTAATTTAACAATAATTATTCTACTTTTAATTAGTGGTGCCATCTAGCAGCAGGAGTGGAAACTAGTTTCATAACAAACTTGGGCGTTTTGCCACCGATGGCGCCACTCGTATTAAGTTACTGAACTATATATATATTTCCTTTTATTGACATTTTCATTGTAGAATTACAATTGTCACACATAAATAGTAACTTGTTATGCATAAAATCTATTAAATCTAATCTATTTTGATTTTCTTTGAGTCACGTGGTTTTGTTTACTCGTGTTTTTTGTCTCCCTGGCGATAGTACAATGGAGGCCCTCTACATTTATCTAAAAGTCACAGTATAGTTTCAACCATTCAAGCAAGTATATAAACACTCACTGACAGGTATCTAATAGTTAATAATGGTAGACGAATCAACGAAGAAAACATTAAGTAGCATTCCGTTGTTACAAACAAAAGCAGGTCCCAGAGACAAAGAATTATGGGTGCAAAGATTGAAGGAAGAATATCAAGCTTTAATCAAAGTACATCATATTTGGATAGTATTGCTTTCCATATGGCTAACAATTCTATAAAAATCATAAAATATCGCTATTTAAGTTATTACATTAATGCTCAGTTGAAGTAATTGTAGCATACTTTTCAGTATGTCACAAATAACAAAAAATCAGACAATGATTGGTTTCGTTTGGAATCAAATAAAGAGGGTACAAGATGGTTTGGTAAATGTTGGTATATACACAACTTGCTCAAATATGAATTTGAAATTGAATTTGATGTAAGTATCTTCTTTGTTATTGGAAAGTTATAAATTTTTTTGTACATTTGTCTGATATGTTTAGGTACCTGTTACATATCCTACAACAGCTCCTGAAATAGCATTACCAGAATTGGATGGTAAAACTGCAAAAATGTATAGAGGTGGAAAGATTTGTCTTACAGATCATTTTAAACCTTTATGGGCACGTAATGTGCCAAAGTTTGGGATTGCTCATGCTATGGCACTTGGAGTAAGTTTCTTAGTTAATCAATTTTTTCATCACTATTTATATGATCTTTACATATCTATTATGTATATGTCAGCTTGGACCATGGTTGGCAGTTGAGGTTCCTGATCTTATAGAAAGGGGTGCTATAGTACACAAAGATGAAATTAAGTAACATATATCACAATACCATAAGAATATATTGTATAATATAAATATTCTTTCAATTGTAAATCGAGATTGACTTGTTTGTTAATTTACTATAACATATTAAATAAGGTTTATACATTAAATATATTATATTTTAATCTTAGTAGAAATATTTACAATCCTTTACATATTAATTACAATAATTATTTATCTTCGTCTAGTTTGGTATTTTTACTTTCTTTTATTATTTCATCTAATTTGTGTAAATCTTTGAGTGATATTTCTCCACTACCTCTTTCTAAAGGTTTTGGTTGGGAGGGATCTGGCTTCCAACCTAATAAATAAATTATTTGAAATGTAGCAGGCACGAATGGGGTACCGTCTTCTTTCATTTTCCCATAGAGCTCTTTATATATTGCAGCAGCTGCAAGTGCAGTATCTTTATTTAAATGTAACTTTCGACTTTTTACTGCATTATTTTCAGCCATCCCTATAAAGATGCATATTAGAGATAGTTTACAAAATTTTTATTCTACAGGAATTTTAATTATTACCTTTTAAATCCCACATTAACTCAAACATACTTGGATAACCAACAACCATTTCGTCTGTATCTATTGTTAACATTGTAAAGTTAGCCCGTGTTAATAATCCTCCTACATCTCTAATTTCTGCAAATGGTGAAATATGTGCTGAAAGTCCACCATCTCTCTCCAATTCTGCTAATTGTAAGGAACTTCTAACAAAGGAAAGTAACTATTGAATTCAATGATTATGTCTAATTTTATTATTTAAATTACCTTAATTCATAAAGCGTATCTCCACCAAATATAGCAGCCATGAAAACTCCATCATTCTTTAAGCTATTGTTAATATTTTTAAAACAACTTGGTAAATCATTCACCCAATGAAGACTTAAAGAACTGATCACTAAATCTAAACTATTCGGTTTGAATGAAAAATTTTCTTCATCCATAACAGTTTTAGTTACTTTGATTCCTTCAATGGTTTCAGCATATTCTAAAAAACTAGAGCATGTGTCAGTCAGGATTAACTCTTCCACATATTCTGGCAATATATGTTTTGACACATGACCACGACCACATCCTAAATTGAGCACTTTCTTGAATTTTTTTTTTATATCAAATATTCTATCCGATAATCTGTAACCTACTTCATCTTTGATATAATCATACAGCTTTACATCAGACGCTTGTGCAGCACGTTCTCTTTGAAGCAATTTCGCATTTCTATCAAAAACGTACATTACACTGTCTTGTGGAAGCGAAAAATTTGCCGCACTGTTGACAATGTTGCAAACATTGTTAATTCGATTTCGAATGTTTAGGTTCAACGTTCGTTGGAAGTGTAACATATTTTTTTATGTATTTTGCTTGGAACGATTATGTAACTCAACATTAATAACGATATTTGCGCTATGTATTTTCAGAATTCTTTATAAACATGCATTTTTTGGCAAAATTTTCTTCTTTCTAATTTATTGGTTCCACAGCGTACAAAGCTTGAACGACATAACCTAGTCTGATACAACTTTGATTATCAAAATTTGATGTATTAAAACTAAATAAGATATTATAGATTACATCTTAATTAGATACATTTTGATTGAAATGAATTTAGGATATTTCATCGATAATATTGTATTTTAAAATTGTATAAAATACTTTAGTACGAAAATAAAGAGAAATGTTGTATTACAGGAAAAGTAGTATTTATTATTCCTTTGTAATTTTATTAACGATTTGTAAAAAAAGGTAGTGAAAAACAATTTTATTAGAAGTTCCAAATTCTACTTTGTAGTAAGAGCATATACAATATTTCGTAATATGTTAAATAAAACGTAAAACATCGCTTCTTCCTAATAACATTTTATTATACTGTTTTTATAATGAAGTATTTAACACTATAATTAGTATTATACAGAATCTTTAAATTGTAACAAAACATGTTTGATAGATAACTATTCTGCATACAAATGATTATTTGCCTTACAAGAGTTGAACATCATTCGAGGCAAATAAGTTATTTTACTGTTTCGTCTTATATGCATGTATGTTTATTATTACCAGGAAAAATTCATAAATTGTCTATTATCGAACATACAAATCTCTAATATTTAATGCGATATATTATTCGAGATGTGCATAAAAATCAGAATCTTAAGAATGTAATGTGAATATTATATTACGTCGATTCAGATATAGAATTTTATAACAAAATTTTTAATGCCACAATTATTATCACATACGCCTTTGAAAATAACGAAATATAATAATACCAAATAATAGCATGTTACATTTCGCAAAGAACAAATTACAGTACATTAAATCAGATGAAAACTGATAATAAATGCAATATTTTTGTTTCTCGTGTTTAAGAACATGTATACTAATATACTACACACTTACTACATCGATAAGAATAAATCGCGCTATTTATTATAAAGATATAAATAAATTTAAAAATTTGAAATTGTGACGTAATCGATTAAACAATTTATTTTCTTACCGAACAAATAAGTAGTATGTAAACAATTGTCAAAAATTTATAACATTACGTAAAAAAAAATCGATATAATTTTCGGATTAACTTTAACAATTCTAAATATATACTACACATTTAATAAAGCAATTGTTGTTTGGTTTCAAAATAATGTAATAAAATAACTTTAAAAATATCAAATTTACGATTTAATTTGCAAGGCAGGACCCACTCAGATGTATACTTCGTAAATAAAGTTCTAATACCATCATTGATTACATATGTATGTACTTGAAAAATGTATAGATAAAATATTATTAAAAGAGTAATATAATGCAATATGTATTATCTATTTATATTCGTATAAATAAATGAAGTATAATCTATAGCTCACTCTCATACATTATTCGAAATATTTAGTTAGTCTATTTAGTACGATTTACTAGTACAAATGTGACGTGGTCTGTGACAAACGGTTACTTAACTGAGTAATTGTGAACGTGGTAAAATGTATTTGTATACAAATTTTTAAAGTTACGTACAAAGTACAAGCATTATAGAAAATCTGTAATAGCAAAAATTTTCATTTCTACATAAGCTTACTTAACTTTACAGGTGAATATAACGAAAATATTTAGAATATAGAATTGAAGTCATTAAATAATTTGTACGAAAACAATTGAGAACATCGAGAAACTATAAAGCTTGATTATAGGTATCTATTAAAGTGCATAGATTTCAATCAAAAATTGACTGTTCTTTTTAGTTACATTATTCAGTATACAATATTTTTTACAACCTATCGAAGGAATTTCAATACGAATAATGCTTTAATTAAGTACAATTATTAAAAATAACAAGTTGCAATACAAAAGTCGTTTATATATACTTAAAACCGTGTAAAATTGTACGTATATCATCTTTGTGTGTCCTGCCTGTAATGTATTAAAATTTACAAATAATAAATGTTTCGCATTCTTGAAAAAATATTTTTTTAAAAAAATTCTATATAAAAATCAGTCCTAAATATTACTAGACAAATTTGTACAGTTATATAATCACAATAAAAGCAAATATCTAATATGTTTTGAGGCACAATATATAATATTACACCTGAAACCTATGAAAATTGTGGAAATTCGTCGTATATCCAAGAAAATCTTTATATTTACCGTAATAAAGAAGTGTTCCTAATATTCCTTACAAATAAACATGAAAAATGATAGCTATTGAGATAAATCTGTTATCAAATCAATATTTGATGAAGAATAAAAAAAAAGAAACGGGAAATATTGTTTCGTAATACGGACGAAGCAAGACCCGAATGCAAACTGAGACTTCTTCGAAAACTTTTCAATTTTCTGAGACTCTTGTGTACGATCGACATAAGCCAAGTTTTTAAGTAGACGAAAGAAACGTGTTTTGCAAAAAAGCCTAAAATACTGCGACTAAATATAGACGATCAGAAAGAAATCGAGAGACATTTGAAAGAAACAGAATTTCCTGGTATACATTCGAGCTTGTCTAACTTCGAATATTTGGAATTGTTTCGTCGCATTTTTCAAGAAGCTCGTATATTCCAAAATTTCAAACAGCTTCAAAAGATAGCGAAATAATGATATGAAAGCAATTACATATCCCTATTATATTTGATATAACTATTACTAAAATTTTGTATTAATTCCAAGATTAAATTGCAATAAAAATATTCTCCATTTTCCCATAATACAATTTCTAAAATTCGATCGTGAAATGGTAGAATCGTAATCTTTTACGTGTATATGCATATGCAATCGGTACGTATATTCATAGTTTCAAAATTGAGACCATGCACTGTGTATAAATACATTGCAATTATATATACTTTGAGAACTACTAGAAACAATTCAATGAAACGAAAATTAAATTTTTACAAACAGAGCACGTTACAGAATATCAATGTTTAAAACCACATGTGACAAGAGTAACGAAGCCTCTTCATTGCTTTTGAAAAATCTTGATCAGAGATGATGTTAATGATAATTACTTTGGCCTCAGACTATTAATAGGAGTGGGTAATGTAAAATGTGCTGATGTTGGAAGAGGTGTTGTAGTACATGTAGAAACCGGTATATCGCCCATATTTGTAGTAGCATTTGATTCGCTTTTGTAGCGAATATTAGTATATTCTCTACCTAAATGAAGAGATTTCTGTAAAGATAACAATAAATAAAAAATAATCGTACGAATAAAGGTTACAGGAGCGTACGTGAAAATTATTTTCGTGTGGCTACCTGTTCTGCTTGCATTCGCTGCGATACTGTTTCGATGTAGTGTAACACAGCAAGATAAACAAATTTATATTGTGCTTCAGTTTGAACCATTCCCGATCTTTGCGAGCGTACTCTTTGAATTGTTCTCTGAATATCAATTTCACAGTCCAGACCTGCAAATGAAATATACGCAAAACGTTATGAAAAATGCACAACGCATATCGTCATACGATATTAAAAATGTAATTGATTAAAATTACCATGCCGCTTGATTTGATCAAGAATCATATCGATAACAATAAATGTTCCAGTCCTACCAATTCCAGCACTACAATGTACAAGAATTGGTCCTATCATACTCGATACATTTTGACCACCCGAAGTAAGAGAACCAGCAATTGATTCTTGCCTTGCGTTAACATCGTGAAGGAAATTTAACACGCATCCAGGATCTGATGGAACACCATGATCAGGCCATGCCTAGAATGTTAATACAGTTAATTAATATAATTAATTTTATTCTCCAAAATAAAATAAGGAGCTATTAAAAACAATACTGATAAGGTACTTGAAAATGATAGTGAAAAATCCTTCTGGACTCTGCGAAACATGGTTTGTTTCCATGTAATAAAAATTCTCGTAATGTATAATCTGCAGTTGAAGTACGAGACAAGGCGCGTACTTTCCACTCGCTACCATATTCCGCAACTTCACCCTCTTCTGGCCAATAGCGAGCGCACTTATTCTACAATGCACATATACTTTTAGAATTCGCTGTGTACGTGTATTTTTAAATACACACCTTTCCCCTCTCCATTTCTTTAGTAGTCATAACTATTACTCTTGTATTTTCTTGATATACCATATGCCAAAAATCTGGTACTGTTTTTGGAAGGCAACCTTGCGTTGCTATGTAACACTTGGTAAATAATCCACCATCACCACCGGTTTGACCATCTCCTTCTTCATTCTACAAATAATTATATATGAACTGATTTGAACGTACACGTCCAAAGTAAATATTGAATCGTCACATTAGATTTACCCTAATGTAATTAGCGTTAATATAGTCAGCTCCAGGAATACTTGAATCAACGTCTTTCAACCGCACTCTTGTGTGATCAACTACAGAATAATAAATTAAGAATTAAGTCTTATGCATAGGTATAATAAAATTCGATAACGAAATCGAAAAATCTTACATGGTAAAATATTTTTATATCGATTCTTTGCACGATTCTCAGGACGTAAACCTTCCTTTCTTGAAAATAAATGACGACATTCCAACTGTTGCAACGACTCGAATTCTTCCCAGAAGCCTGCTTTTCCTTTACCGCGTCCAGCTCCTACTTCATTACTACTTGTAGCTCCATTCCAACATAACCATCCATTCGTGCAACCGTTTTCTTTATGTAATTGTCTCACTCTACTTTTAATGCCACTAGCATTTATACGAGTAGCATTGAAAGGTTGCCTGGAAAGTAATAGATAAACAAGTTATAGGAAAGAATATATGTGTTATTACATGTACATGTAACTTAACAATTTTTTGTTTCTTACCTTAAATGGACAACACTTCCGCTTGTTTCAACCATTGGATTACGTTTATAATGTTCTATCAAGTCGCTCAGACTGTCGAATTTATCACCTCCGCCGACGTCGTATTTATTATCCTACAATATTCATTATTTTTTGGTAAAAGGATGTCAAACTTCTAATCGTACTTTAAGATAAATTAATAAATACATAATGAAGATAATACATATGGTATAAAATAGAAAATATAATTAACCTGAGATCGTATTATAACATGTGTAACACGATCATCTGTACGCACGGATAATACAAAGTCACCAGGTTTACTTTGAGATTCACGAACCAGAAATGATCCATTTTTACCCCGCTCCAGCATTAAACGTTCTGCTTCTTTAGCTGATAAATGGCCATGGAACCACCTTTACCCATATTTTACTATTAACACATACCATGCTATATGCGTGCATTTGAAATAACAGTAACAAGAAAAAGAGTACCAATGCATAACAAAACTTATATTTATTAAAAAATAATACCCGTGTATTTTCCTTAGAATAAATGAATACCTTTCAGTTGTTGGATCTGCACAATTTAACGGATATTTCAACTCGATAATTTCTCCATTTTTTTCACGCAACTGTCCTCCGTTTTCCATATAAAATTGTACAAGTTCAGAGAGAGTTGCAAATTTTTCACCGCCGTAAAGATCATAGAAGTCTCCTGTATTTTGTATTTTAATATGAGTTACTTCGCCGTTTCGTCTACAAATAAAATAAATATTCAATATTATACAGGTATGGCACATTACAATTATCATTGATGATATAGTTATAAGAGATAATTTGTATGCTCTATTATGTGCTTACCTAACAGATAATGTAAAATCACCAGGATTAGATGAACTTGGACGTGCCAAAAATGAACTATCATAACCTCGTTCCATTAATAAATGCTCTGCTTCTAAGCCCGATATATTGGGATGAAACCATCTGTAATAAATATAACATTATTGTTAGGAATATAATTCCATAGTACTTGTGCACATAGACAAATATTATTTCAAGTAGTTGTATACAGTTTATATAATACATACAATGTTTTATAAACATATTATTATTTTGTGCCTATAAATGTCAAAAATCAATATATTAAATCAAATATTATAGGTACAACAGGAGAGATACAAAATGCATTAATTGGATATTTAATTAATGGCTAATCCTAGTTAATTTACAGCATTCACAATCAATAAGTATGAAATATAATCTCAATCCAGAGAATTTTAAATTCTGTCTAACAAAATACAGGATAACTATAATATTATTGAAAATAGTACGTAAATAATAAAAAAAATGTCATTTTAAAGTATCGAAATATACGAAAACGGCTGAATAGAAAGTAAATATGCGTCTGAAAATATCAATGACAGATGTCTAGAAAAATTGGGTTTATTTTATTCATTTTTGGACATGAAAAATTCAATGGTGTTAAACGACTTAAGTACGCATACCTTACCTCCGAATGTGTTTGACTAATCCACAGCTAACATTGATAAATAAGTAGGTTTATTCAGCGAACGTCCGTGGATTATGATAATTAAATATTTTTTATGCAAGTACAAAAACGTGCCTCACCTGCGGGATGCCATGTCGTGATTCGAACTATAACCACTTGGTTATTAATAATTCATAACGATTCATCGAGACTCGCACTTATAATTCGCAATTGTAATTGCTTTCAGCTTAACACTAACTACACACCACCACGGTCTTTGACATATTCACTTTGTACAAAAACAAAAAAAACGAAAGCACTAAAAGATTCTGGCATAGATCTTCATTCTTTAGAGTAGATACTTTTTCAAGTGGACAAACCATCGAAACATAATGCCGGTTCCATAACATTGGATCTATTTAGTTACGTGATATCGTCACGTAACGCATAATTATGGCGGCGGCTTCCGATTCCTCCACCAGAGGACTACTGATAACATTCGATTCTCGCAAGTTCTCTAACAATTACAGATATTTTTCAAATATTACAATCCTTTAAGATTAACCGGGTTCGATAGACTTAAAGCAGAAGCAGATAAGGACATTAAGGAAGGGGGTACATTTTTATTCGAACAATTATTTAGATGAAAATCATGATCACCAGTGGTTTGCACTAGAGGTCAGTTAAGATGGAGATAGGTACGAGAGGTCTAAATAACCACGAAACCCTAAAGAGACATTGTAAATCAATGTTAATGAATTAATAAGTTAATTAGTCATTAATTGATTAATGGCATCGGTGGCGTCATCTTACAAAATAATTGGGAACTACTTTCACTACAAACTTGGGCATTTTGCCACCGATGGCGCCACTATTACTAGACAACTAAACTATATATATTTCCTTTTATTAACATTACAAGTTAAACATAAATTATTATATATAGTTACTGTTTATGTATAACGATTATACTGTGTCTTTATAAAAAGAACAATAAAAGAAAATTTCCGTTTCTGAGTGAAGGTTACTATATTTGGCACCAACAAAGACGATTGGCGACACAGCTAGTGACTTCTCATCCTACCCTCCATATCGCAGTATCTATATGATATACAGGGTGTTCCAAAAATGTAGTAACACCTTGAAATGGGTGGTTCGGAAGGTGATTTGAAACAACTTTTTCCTTAGCGAAAATGTTGTCCGAGGCTTCATTGAGGAGATATTAACGGAAAACACTGACCAATCAGAGCGCGAGGATGCCGGTGGAGCGCTCGCGGGAGCGTATGAGCGCGGCCACCTAGCGCGTAGTCTTCGCTACCACCTTTTCAAGGTGTTAGAACATTTTTGGGACACCCTGTATATGATCTATACCATAGTGCACTGTAGCGATATCTATGTATAAGTATATTATGGATACTATGCATTAACGAACCCGGCTGTGATAAGTCAGGCGTTTAATCTGCGTTTGAATGTTGATTGTTACCGATTGACAGCTGTACCGGGTATGACAGACATGTATTCAAGTTTTGCGTATTTGTTCGTATAAATGTAATTTTCTTATGTCGGTTGATCGCGAATTAATCGGAATATAAGCGTTTGATAAGTATATTTCCAAACGAAGATGGGTCAACACGTTTCGAGAACCGATTTTGAATGGGTGTATACGGAAGAACCACATGCAACACGGCGTACAATAATTTTAGGTAGGAATATAAAATGTATAAAAAGAGTACATTTTTCATTCATTAAAATTCATTTGATTTGCCATCGTTGCGTTAGCGATGTTAAATTGTTATTCATCAATTGTAAGTAAAATAACGTAGCAAACTCGATGTTACCGGTCATCGTCCAAGTATAGGAATGTCACGTACGCACAAATTCGTATGAATATACTTAAAATGTTAACATTAGTAATGTTGCAATAAATATGCTTCTATTTCAGAGAAATATCCGCAAATAAAGAAACTATTTGGATATGATCCAATGTTCAAATGGACAGTCACAGGAATGGTTCTAATTCAATTAATATCCATATATTTTGTAAAAGATTTAAACTATCCAATGGTGTTCCTTCTAGCATATTGTTTTGGAGGAGTAATTAATCATTCTCTTATGTTAGGTATGTATGAGTTCTGTGTGAGTCATCTTAAACTTATAATATGTTATCAGTAAACACACGAAACTACTTCAAAAAAATTTTAAACATCAAACTACTACAAATATTTCCATGAAAGTCTGTTATACAAAGAACAGGTGGTTATCAGCATGTAGCAATATTTACTGATGACAACATTATTTCAAGTGCAATCTTCAATTTCTCTCTTATCTAAAAGATACAACATTTTTAAAGTAAATTTAATTGTTTCTAAAAGATTATATAATATTGTACTATAAGTTTATTGAATGATTTTATTTTTATACATGTATGATTCATTTGTATATTTTTCTATAATATAATAGTATAGTATAATTAAATATGTTAATATTATATTCCAGCAATACATGAAATAGCACATAATCTTGCTTTTGGACATGCCAGACCTCTGGCCAATAGATTATTTGGCTATTTTGCCAATTTGCCCATAGGTATACCAGTATCTTGTAGTTTTAAAAAATATCACCTTCTACATCATCGTGTAAGTACAAATAAAATTGCATTAAATGAGCTAATAATTATTTTAGAATATAATTTACAGTATCAAGGAGATGAAGTACTAGATACTGATTTACCAACACTATTGGAAGCTAAATTATTCTGCACAACATTTGGAAAGTTTTGTTGGATATGTCTACAACCATTTTTTTACGCGTTTAGACCTTTTTTCGTTTATCCGCTATCACCTACATTAATAGAATTTATAAATTTAGTGATACAACTCACGTTTGATGGATTGTTATGGTATTTTTTTGGTAAGTCCTTTAACAAACAGAATTGTCACTCTGTTTATTTCAGTTTTAAGTTATATAAAAATAATATACAATACTGCTTTTATAGGTGGAAAAGTCTTAGTCTATTTACTTTTTGGATCAGTAATGGCAATGGGTTTACATCCTGTAGCTGGTCACTTTATATCAGAACATTACATGTATAAAAAAGGTTTTGAAACATACAGTTATTATGGTCCATTAAATTGGATTACATTTAATGTTGGATATCATAATGAACATCATGATTTCCCTGCTGTTCCTGGTTCAAGATTACCAGAGGCAAGTATTTTAAAAAGGTTTGGTTATTACACAAAAAAATTAAAATTATTAATATTCGTATACTTCTTGCAGGTAAAACGAATAGCCTCCGAATTTTACGATAATTTACCGCAGCATAATTCTTGGACCTCTGTTTTATACGATTTTGTTATGGATCCTGAAATAGGTCCATATGCAAGAATGAAAAGAAAACGTAAAGGACTATGTTCATAAAACTTAGAAAATTTCATATTTTATATAAATAATTTAACAATTAGTATCTGAAACTTAAAATTATTTGCATGTATAAGATATTGAGTATTAGTACTCATTTATTGCACTATATTCGTTATCAATTGGAAAACCATGTTTATTGTCTAATAGACATAGCCTCATACTGACCAGATACAACTTATTTAAGAAATTATAAATGCAAACGCTATCGAAGTATTAATGTATTTCTTTTTTGTATTTCTGTATTACGTCTGAATAGAGTAATTTTTACAATAATGTACTTCCAAATGAAAAATTTATAAAATTGCATTGTACCTGTTATATTGCTAAAATAGTCAAAGTACGAGTGGAAGATGCTAAACTACCAAAAACTTTTCTATTTTATGATGCCTGTAAATAAGTTATGAATAAAGGAAACTATGTAGCTAACTATAACTATAAGTAATCAAAGATATTACTATGATATCTAGCTATTTTATAATCTAGTCGTAATGAAATAAATTTTTTATTTTAAATATTAACATCTCAATTAAAAGTGTACTGAAAAGAATAAAGTAAAAATACTGTTGATTTATATGTGATAGCATTGGATATTTCACTTTTGACGAATGTCATTTAAATTCTTTTTACATTTTTCATAATTTCATTCTGCCCAATTTATTGATTTTTAAAAAGAATATTATGTTTTGCATTTTTGACCTATCAATTTCATATATTTTAAGGTCCCCATCGTAAAATGTGTAGAGAAGAATCTACACCTGCATTTTTGTCGAGTACTTTCGTGGATGGATTTAACAAATATAACAACAAACGTGTTATTATAATTCTAATGCTCACGATAAATTTTTCGTGCGCGATCAAATGACTCATCCGTTTCCTTGGTGTGTATCTATTCGTAGAACTTGACGATTTGTAAGCATTCCAACAGAATTTGCTAAATAGTTCGTGTTGCTCGTATCTAAACTTGGTCTTAAACTTGGTTTTTTCGTGTCTGATAGCAGGAAATAAAAAATGGTTATCGATAGCTTTACTTGATACGGACATGACAATAAAAATTGTTCGCGCTTGTCGGTCGATTTCGCGGTTAATCAATTCAATGAATGAATTCACTCCAATGACAATTAATGAAATTACATTTCGGAAAAACTCTGGTTCGTTACAGTTATAAACTGTATACATATATGACAATTGTATCGAAGATGTGCTAGTGCATACTACATACGTAATCAGTTCAAATAGTGTGTGTTGCACGAAAACGGAATCTAGAATAAAGTATCATTTCCGTTCGAAAAAAAATAATTTACTTTTTGCATTTTCTCGTGGATAGACAACATTTGTAATGCAACGAGAAAAAGAAAATAATAACAAGATAACGTTCGGTTGTTTATTGTACAATGGTTCCTCGTTTCGAGGGAACCTCTGATTGCGTGTAGCCATGTATACGCTTTATGCATAGCATAGGTGTCTGCAATGGTGTATCTGTCTGATCATGGAAAAAATAACGTGTACGTGAACGGTGTAATCGTGCATAAATGCATATCTGTAAAACAGTGAATAGAATGGGAAAACAAAACGGATCGTGTTGGTGGTTTATGAAAACCGTGAACTGGATACCAGTTCTTTTCATCTTGACGGTTATCGTATGGTCGTATTACGCTTATGTGGTGCAATTATGTTTTTGTAAGTATTTCGAATTAATTCGACAATTTTCACGCATATTAAGTATTGTATGTATAATGAAGATGATAGTAATTATTATTCTTATATCTTTCGATAACCAAAGTAACGGTCTAAAATAAAATTTTAATTTTTACTTTATTCTTTGTTTACAAGTAGTCAAGTTGAACTTAGAATAAAATACTGTATGCACAATATCATACTTTGTATTACATAAAAATTGTGTACTATAATAGTTGGCTATGTATGTTCATAATTTTGTTTTTTTTTTATTTCAGATACAATAGATAATTATGTTCAACAAGGTATACATATATATTTTTAAATATTGTTAAATAATATTCTTATCATTAATTATATTATATTTATGTGTTTATAGCATTTTACTTGTTTTTTTATCACATCCTATTTCTATTATTTTTGTGGTCCTACTGGCAAACCGTATTTACAGACTTAATAGAAGTACCAGACAAGGTAAGATTTCATTTTAATAATCCTTTATAATATTGATGCATAAATAATATATTAATAACACAATGTCTTGTATAGTTTAGAATACCAGATGTAGAAATGGAAAAATTTCAACAAGCTGAAACAGAAGAAGCACGAAGACAAATGTTAGAAAGATTCGCTCAAGATCTTCCAGTCACAAATCTTACTATCGAAGGAGGTACAAAGTTTGTTGATTTTTTTTATATAATGTATGTACTTTATATAAATTGCTTTTTCTAGTAATACGTTTCTGCGAGAAATGTCAGTTAATTAAACCAGATCGAGCACATCACTGTAACGTGTGCAGAACGTGTGTTTTAAAAATGGATCATCATTGCCCATGGATAAACAACTGTGTTGGCTTTCACAATTATAAATTCTTCATGTTATTTTTGGCATATGCCCTTCTTTACTGTATATTTATTACTGCTACATCTTTACAATACTTCATACGTTTTTGGAAAGTAAGTATGATTCTACTTGTGTTATATTATTCACTTTAGCGAATTGTGTACTTTAAATAATGCGAATTTTCCCTGTATAGGGAGAATTGGATGGAATGGGCAGATTTCATCTACTGTTTTTATTTTTTGTGGCACTAATGTTTGCAGTTAGTTTAAATTCCCTTTTCCTCTATCATTGCTACCTTGTTTTACATAATAGGTCTACATTAGGTAATTATCAATGTTTATACACCAAAATATTATGTAATACGTGGGATCGATTACAGAATATTTGACGGTAAATATTATATTTGTAGAGGCGTTCACAGCACCCATGTTTCGCACAGGAAAGGATAAAGATGGTTTCAGTCTTGGAAAATATAATAATTTCCAGGAAGTATTTGGTGATAATCCTAAACTATGGTTCCTTCCCACTTTTACTAGGTAGGTTCATTAACATGATATAAAAGTTCCATATTTTTTTAATATTATCTTTTTTTTTAATAATATAATAAGTTCTTATGACGAACCTGTGAACCATTTGCACAATATATATATATATATACATATATATATACATATATATATAAAACTATTGGTATCATTTAAGTACTAACAATTCATGCTTATTTACTTCGTAAAAAAGCATGTTAATATCGATATAAATACACGTATATGTATGCTGTACAGTGTAGAACTTAGTGTGAATTGATACATGTTAGATATTGCATACAGCAGATATCGAAATACTACTACCTTTCAGCACTTAAAAATATTACGAAGATATTTCAACTTGTAATAGTACTTATTGTTTTGCATTCTTGTTTTTAATGTATGCACTTTAAATCGACAAGATCGGTAGTATGATTTCGTAAAGATATCATTTCACGGATAAGACGTAAAAGTGAAGAAAATGGTAAAAATGGAAAAACCTTATGTGTATCGAATAAGATAGTATATAAACTGCCTTAAAAATCAGAGCGATATGAATTAATTTTTCATTGTATTTAACATAAAAGTATGTACTAGTTTCTCTTTATTTCTTTAGTTTTCAATTCGTTATATTACGTTAGTTTAACTTATATGCTTTCATGAATAAGTACATCGACACGATAGTAATTGCATCACCGTTAAATCGCGATGGATGCGTTAAATGTGTTCTAGTCTTGGAAATGGTGTCACCTATCCAGTACGCGCGCAACATCAAGGCCCACCCAATACTTACGACTCCATGGGCAGTACTCGAAACAGGTCAGCATTATAGAAGTGTAAAGTGCCGATTTAACGATAGCTGCATATAAACTTTACTATGGAACTCATTAATATTATTGATTGAAAGGCAGTTCATATTTAAATGTGTAATACACTAATCACCTTTGAAGTAGTTTTTAAGATGAAACATTTTCTTCATATTTTTTTTGTAAAATCATATATTTATTTTATAGAATATCATCATCTTTCGGGTAAAAAATTTTCATTTCTCCCTTATTTCATACAGAGTTCCAGAGTAATGAAGATGTATACATGTTGCTTCCTGGATGCATGCGACTGTTTATTTACATTATGCCTTTATTTGTTTTATACTACACGACTGTATCATAAAGGGTAGCTTTTATATTAACAAAGCTTGTTGGATTATTACTAACATTGATACCTTTATTTGTAGTAACGTTGATCTAACGAAACTATGACTTGCGTACTATAACTATCGAAATGTGTTGTTAAGTAATCCTAAAATTCTAGTCAAGACTAGTCATGGTACATTATAGAACGTAATTTCTACATGCATAATAATTTGCAATTATTATTATTTATATTCCAATTTTAAACTCTACATGATATTTATTATATTTTCTGTTAAAATTGACAATGTTTATATTACTGTTTACAGTAAGATTAAATTTGAACCATTGCGTTTAATCTACAGATAATCATTAATTGAGATGGACTTTAAGAAATAGGTATTAGTTTCATCTTAAATTGATATTTAAGATTGCATGTCTTTCTTTGTAAATGCATCATATTGGCATTGATCAAATCAATTACATCTATCGGTATACATTTTTTACAATTTTGAGAAGTATTGTGCATCTGGTTCTTACAGATTGGTAGTTTAAATTAAATTACTAGAAGTGGCGTAACTATACTTCCATATTAATTTTGGTAAACTTTACAATGTTACAACCTGGATAAAAATGTTTATATTTAAGAATTAAGGTCTAATCTTGTTTGAAAAATATATTATGCAAACGAGATAGAATGTTAAATTCCAAGTCTGAGGTACTCTGTAGTTTCGATAAATTTTCAGATACAATTAGTTACGCTACTTCTTAGTATAAGTGGGATTACATCGAGTAGAAGGTAGGGTGTGGGTTACAGTTTTGGCGATGGGGTAAACTTTCCTGAACGGCTGTGCAATGAAGACACATATACTCTGTTGGGACATACTACCCAACAGTGGGATGATGAGACCGAGCTTGACTCTCCACCTCCCTATAGGTCGCAATCAGGTATTGTGTAGTCTGAATCCCTATGTTGAGGTGGTGCGTTAGTCTATATACATTGTCCAAATACATGTTACAGTATTTCTAGTACAAAACTAATGTTAGCCACAATTACGCTCTATGTTACATTCGTGAAAAATTCATATTCAATTCTTTGAATAATTCTACACATTCGTATCGATTTTTACTTGTAATCATAATTTTTGTGTTAATTATTAATTAACATTATTAATTAATTAAGTTACCATCATTGCCACATTGAGCAGAGTGTAATCTTCTAGAGTATTTTAAATATTATATGTATAAATATTCAGAGAATTAATTGTGCTTAATATAAACTCTTTTTCTGTACTGTTTGTATTAATTTAATCGTGGTATATATCGATAAAGAATACATATATATTGTTAAAAGTAAAAATTTACAGATATCGACAGTATTATCATTTTTTATTTCTATATCGTTAATATTTTAAATAATATAAATTTACCGTAGTTTTCAATGTTTACTTAGCTAATAAATCTATAAAATCGTTACAAGCTATAATAATTTTCTTTTTTGACAGCATAAGATTTTCAAAATTCGATCAATAGAAAGTTTATTGTAAACTAATAATTTATGTAAGTATAATTTACATAAAAAAGATAATTCGATGTTTTAATATGATAGTCAAAATACAACTAAGTGTTTAAAAAAAGATTATTATTTACAATAGGGTGCATATTTTGTATAACATTCATTACATACATATGCTTTGTACAATAAAAACGTGAATAATGCCTAAAGACACATATAAAGCTAATATAAATTATAGAGTCATAAATATTATTACAGTTTGCATTTATGTGTTTGCCAATGTACAGGATGTATATATAATATCATGTATGAAATACAAATGAAATACCACTGTCTATTACTAAATAAAGTTGTAATAAAAAAAAGGAGAATAAACTGTTAAAGTTATATGTATTTGCAGTATATGGAAAAACTATTTTGTATACAATTAACACTTTATCCTTAATTTCTATTTCACTAAAACTGATTACTATGCTTGAATGTAGGAATTATTTTTGTAGGTAAGCATGTCCTGTTCTGTAAGATAAATTTATGAATATTTAATGCAAAAGTAATAAATCATATGTAGATTTAATGCATATTTATGTATCACAATTATTACATACATTAACGCACTGAGATATTATTACAACATAAAATCGAGTATAGGATATCGATTTATATGATTTTAAAAGAAATAATTTATTATTGTTTAGCAAGTAGTGATGATGTACATCAATGTAGTATTTGATATAACTTTTAAAATCGCAAAATTATCCATGTCGCAAAATTGGGTTTTATATTGTTGCATGTTCTTTATGTTTTCGTAGATTACTGAAAGTAATATTATGCGCCATTTTTCCAAATTTATTATTATTACATAATTGCTTAACACGAAATCATAGATTAAAGCTTTTTATATGTATATCAGATATTGTATTTGTATAATACCTGATAATCTAAGATTATCTAAATTATTATAAATATGTTTAGATAATAAACACTGTTAATTCATCCACATTAACGATCGTAAGTTTGATTAAATAATTTTGAAATATTTTACAGCACTACTATGATAAGTTCTGCTGCAGATGCTAACCAACCATTGGTGGATACAACTGAAGTTGTTTGACGCAGCAGTTATAATTTCTTCGTCTTTATTACAGACATAGCTTTGTTGCTGAGTCACAACATTCAATTTAGTAGTTTATATATATACTTTTTGCATTGCGACGTCTTATAACAATTCAATTGTCTTTTTTTTTTTTTCTAAAAAAATTTACAATAGATTATTCCATATTTCAATCTTCGATGTAATAATTTTACGTACAAATACAAAGAATTAATATTAAGACAACATTCACTACTGTACATTGAAACTTTCATAGTCTTCTATACATTCTATATATTAAAGGAATTATTGTTAAAATAATTAGAATGCAAAATAATTTGCACAAAATTTTTAACATTTCATATACATATGTATAACATTGTTAATGGTGCAGTTAATGATATATATGGCAGCATATATAATTACTATTGCAATCATAATGGCCTTTCTTGCTAATGCCAAGTTGGTATTAAAAATTTGTTATTGAAATGTAGAAAATCAAAACTGATATGATGATAAATGTAAATTGTTATAACTAAAACAAATTACTGCCATGACTTTAATGAAATGTATAATAAATAATTAAAGGAAAATAATAGAGTTATTATGCTCTAAAAAGAAAAAAAACAGGAATTATTGATATTGTAATATAACTGTTGAAGTAACACAGTGTTGGAAGTATTATTTTCAACTGTGTGGATCACTGTATTTTATTTCTATTAAAACCAAAACACAAATGTAAATTTTAAAGATCTAAAACATCAATGTAATTACTACTTTTTGAAATAATTTGTTCATAACTATCGAATTGTAATCTCACTGTTTCGAAAATAATTTATTGTCGTAACAAGAATATTAGTTATATTTATGTATTTGATACTAATATGTTGTTCTAATTATTTTAGTAACAATTTGATTATACATTCTATGATTTGTACAGTCTCGATATACTGTTTCTACATTCATCCTTTAACACAACAAATCAAAAATTTAATTAATAAATTTTTAGAAAGCATATTTTGTACTTAAAACTTGTAATTATCTTTATTTAAATAAGATAAACAACCTTGGATGTTAATAAACCTATATATTTTAATGGAAATGAAAATCATGATGGTATATTTTAACATTTATTACAAGGTATACATTTCATGACTGATACTCAAGAGATATTTATTTTGTATTAATATTTTGTTTTAACTTCTTTTACATTGCTTATTATTTTTTTCTTGTTAAGAAAAGGATAAAGACACTTTTTTCATAAAGCTTATAGAACCAGCATGATATAGAATAGATGAAATGTATTTCTATTAAGTATTGCTAATAAATGTTAACTAATGGTTAATTAAAGCGCAATGCGTATAAACTTATTAAGTATAAGTAGACTATAAATGATTATATAATTGTATAAGTATAATGTTATTCACTTTATTATATATTTCTTAATGTTTGAAATTTTCATTATGGCTTGATTTTGCATCCTATATAAATTGAGATATAAAAGATAATCGATGTAACATTTTTATAATTAGCATGAAGAAATTTCTTTAGTATATTAATACAAAGTATTAACAAAACAAAATTTTGTTTATTTGTTCTGTCATGTATATAACATTTATAGTAAGAATTAAATTGTAATAACATGGCTTATATTATAATGTAAAAATGTATGTAATTTTTGTAAAAGATTCCTTATTCTTCCCCTAAGTAATAGTAAAAAATAATATAGTTATACTGCAGATGGAAACTTTCAGCAAATGTTAGGACATTATTATTACAATATGTAACCATATTTTTGTATCCAACTTAATCCTTCTACAGAAGAAGATTTTGGTAAATACTCTAAACCAATGTATCCATTATATCCTTCTTTCTCTAATGTGGAAAGAACATATTTATAATTTATTTCTCCTGGAGTATCAGGCTCGTGCCTGTCTGGAACTTGAGCAATTTGTACGTGACCTACAAATTACAAGACAAATTACTTATCTAATTTTTTATAAATTTTAAATATCCACATATTTAGAGGCAGTATCTATACTATGTGTACCTATATAAGGTAAAAGTTCCTTAATGTTTTTCGTAATATTGCCCGAAATATGTTGTAGGTGAAAGATATCCAACAACAGCTTCAAGTTTGGGCTGTTTATTCTTTTTACTATATCTAAACCTGTGTGGAAATTTTATATTAATGATTCTGATAATTGTTAATATTACGAACATTTCTTTTAGCTTTCTCACGAGCGACGATTACCTTTTCGAAAACTATTCATGTAATAATTTGGAACTGAGATACTATTGATAGGTTCAATAAGGCCAACAATTCCTTCTCTTTGAAAATATTCAACTGCATACAAAAGATTCTTTTCGTAAACATCATCATTATCAGATGTTACTTTACCCACTTTACCCGACATTACATGAATTCTAACAAAAAATATTGCGTGAAAAATATGCTGAAAGATGTATAATTGTCGTTTACATATATATAAAGTTTCTTTACCGTTTACAACCTAAAGCTTTTGCATACTCTATTGTCAAATTAATACTCTTTTTAAAGTTATCTTCTTCTCCAGGTATTGCTGCAAATCCTAATTCTCCTTTTGATACATCACCTATTATGATGAAGTATTTTTAAAAATTTGAGTGCTTCTTATAAATAGTAACGACTACATACCTGTAAATACATTTATAAGAATCTGTTCGACACCTGCATTTCTCTTTGCTTCTGATACATCTTTAATGGTAAAACCAAAAGGAAATCCACTTTCAACAGCAGTAAAGCCAGCTTCTTTTGCTAATTTATATCTTTCAGTAATAGACTGTGCCTCTTTAAACATAAAGGATAAGTTGGCAGCGAACTTTAAATTAGTCATATTGATGCCAAACCTCCTTAAATAAAGTAATTACAATTCCTTATGGTAAAGCTGCTATTATCAATTTAGTACTTCTGATATTATATAAGTTCCATTATCTTTCCTACATAAAGTGATGGATGAAATTATTATTATGATATAGAAAGATAATGCCATTACATTTTATGTTATCTGATATACTTTAACTGACTATGATAAGTATAGTTTTATTTTGTCTTTATTCCGCAATACCTAGTAAGAAAATTTATTAGTTACTATCAAAGTTAACTACTGCATGTAAACTAACCATAACTTAACCTCTATTTCAAGACATTAAATAAAAGATGTGAAGTTTTTAAAAACTTTCGAGAAATTATTGTATAGATACATACACACAATTAAGTAGTAGAAAAATGAAGTTTAATCATCCGTTACAGTTGTGTTATACCATATCATCATTTTAATATATCTTACACGTAACGAAAGTAAATAAAATATACGTATCGTATAATAATTAGAATTTTATTATATATATATCAGAATTTCAATTTCGGTGCATTTCAATTTTAAAAAGAGTATAAAATAATGTACATTTTAATGTTGTTCGTGAATAACATACATATTTTCATTACAAAAGTATCGTGTAACGTAGTACATACAGTACGAAAATGAATGCATTAATATTTTCGCGAGTGCTTTTCCTGCATAACAAAGTTCAATAAAAGCCAATGTAATGCAACATTATAAGTTAAATAGAAGAATGAAAGTATAATACGATGAAATTGTATATTATCACTCGTCATCGTCGCGAACACCACCACCTGGAACCTTTGGACCTCCAGCACGTTTTGCCATAATAATTTGATCGACTTTAAGTACAGTGCACGCAACGCTAACAGCATATTTTAAACCCCACTGTTTTGTTAGGAATAAGTCTAAGATTCCTTCTTTCTGAGTGTCAATAAGAGCTGCACCCTTTTGCTAAAAATGATTTTTGTAAACGCATTATATTGATAAACGAAACAATTACAAATGAATATTAAATACTTACGTCAATGTCAAAACCATATGTCTTTTTGCCTTGCTTATGCGCGACATAAAGTTTCGATATCAGTTCAGAAGTATGGCTTCCACTATTCTCTGCTAAAGTCCTTGGAAATATTTCTAAAGCAGTTGCAAATCTACGCGCTGCGTATTGTTCTAAACCTGATAGGGTATCCGCGTACTTAACAAGTTGCGAAGCTAGTTCAATTTCAGTAGCACCTGCACCAGGGACAAATCTTCCATCTCTTGTTATTCCTTTGAACGTATTAACACCATCATCGATAGCACGTTCGATATCATCCATATAATTTTCAGTGGATCCTCGTACAATTATAGTGCTAACACGACTGTCTTTGCTATTTATCGCAAATTTTACTACTAGTGTTTCTCCTAATTCCTCGATATATACCGAATCTGCGTATCCTAATTCATCTTTTGATGGTGGAATCTTAAAACGAATAGAAGCATTTAAAATCGTACCGTGTAATAAAGAAAAAATTAACACAGAATCAATTTATTTACCAATTTTGGAAGTGCAGTAGCACCAACAGTCTTACACAATCTTCTAATATCGAACTTGCTAGGTATGCGAACAGCCATTAAATCATATTTGTTCATATAATGTAAAACCATGTCGCCAAATTTTCCTCCTGAAACTATTACATTAACTCCACTGTCAGCAATTGCTTTCACTTGAGTTTCTAATAGGGATTCCTCTCCTCGAGAAAATTTCATCAGTTCTTCAGCTGATTTTATCAATACTGTTCCTTTTGTTTCAGTTTGCACAATGTCTACAGCACAGGTGTAGACAGCAATTTTAGCATTAGTCTTTTTTGTAACATCTCCTTCAACTTGTCTTTTGAATATCATTCCTTGTACAACCTGAGAACTAGATAAACCGCTTCCAAGTATTTTACAGACACGCACATTGTCTACATTGAAAGTAGTTTTCTCAGGTATAATGGATACGCAAGCTTGAGTGATAAGTGAACTAAGGAAATCTTCGTTTCCATATTGTTTACTCATAACAGCTGTTTTAATTCCAACTTTTACTGCTTTTTCATCTCGATAATCTTTTATTTCATAGACAACTAATGAGGGTAATATTTCCAATGCTTTTTCTAATGAAGCTTCATATCCTTCAACTATTTCAGAAACAGTGATTCCCTATCATACAGAACATTTTTGTATTTTTTATATTTAATTATCAAATATTGACTGTTTCACATTAATAATGATTATGGTAGTTACCAAACGAAGTAATTCCTCTGCAGCTTCAAGGAGTGCACCAGCAAAAATTACAACAAAATTTGTTCCATCCCCAACTTCTGCCTCTTGCATTTTTGAAGCTAAAACTAACAACTTAGCAGCTGGATGGTCAACTTCTAATTCATTAATGATTGTTGCAGCATCATTAGTAACAAATAATTTCTCAATGTGATTGATGATCATTTTATTCATGCCATTTGGACCATATGCAGTTCTTACAGTTTGTGCAAATTGTTTACATGCCGTTATATTTCTATACACTGCTTCTTCCAAACCTGAAAAATACTGATCAAAAGATAGAAACATATAAATGTGTACATTGCATTCCAATAATTAGATGCTAAATTTTTAACTAACATAACAAGTAAGGATTGTTGTGTTTAATAAAATAAACAAATTCAAGCTAGATACTTTGAAGTTTACTAAAGAATTTTATTTTACGAAATTCTGTTTCAAATTTTTGTTGGTTTTTCAAAGTTTTACATAATTAAATTGGCAATTAGAAGCTATAATGCGGTTGCAAGTAATTTCTGAGATAAGTAGGGATCTACAACTTATCTAAAATGCTACAGTCTGTATTATGACATAAAAAATATATGCAGTAGATGAATATATTATGCCTATAAAAGGTAACGTTCAGCAAAGCGTTGTATCACTTTCATTTTGTCGAGAAAATATTATTTGGGCATGATCTCATAATACGACGAAGAGGCCATGTAAATTACAGGTAGGAAATTTTATTGACGATACTTTTAACTTACACGTGCTCCTTCTTTGAGCATTTGGGCCATGCCCGGTGCTTTCGGTATATGCATAGCCATGGTTTTTTCGTAATTTAAACGTTTCTGTCTCACGTGTGATTCACAATTAATTGTAACTTCAATTTTCCGTCAAAAAAGACACGAAAGCGAGATAAAGAATCGAGATTTGTTTTTAGGACCAACTACTGAAACGACATCTGCTGGCGATAAGTGTAAAAATTGTACTATACAATAGTTTCTTGTATAGTTCATTTTTTATATTTTATTTAATGGTTTTATTAGAAAAGATTTGTCGATAAGTGAAAAATAATTCTGTTTTTTTTTTTTATAATATATATATTATAAGATTATTGAAAAGTCTCTAGTGCATGGAAACTATTGTTCCACAAGAATCAGCCTTAAGGGATAGGCTCTCTGTATAAAACTGTGATATGTTTTCGGAATTTTCAGGAAAAACAAATATTGTTTATAAAGTACTGTAAAATACAGCATACATTGTTAACAGTAAAATCGGTGAGTTTGGTTTCACGATTTTGAAACTTCTAGAAATATAAATTAATAGAAAGCTCGAATAATTGGCTTTATATTTGACAAATGTTTAACAGAAAATCCTGTTGCCTACGATTGTTATGGATATGGTGATCACAAGTTTGCAACAACAACGTCAAATTACGGAGCAGCTGCGTCGTGAAGCAGCTTTAAAGCGAATCACTGTCAGCAAAGCTGTGGAGGATATCATGAAGTACATCACAGAACACGAACAAGAGGATTGTCTCTTGGTTGGTTTTTCATCGCAGAAATCTAATCCCTTTCGTGAAAAAAGTTCATGTACCATTTTTTAAACTTGCTTGCTTAAAATGAAGCAAGAAAGGAGATCGTCAATTATCTTATCAACGTATAATTTATTACAGACATGAAAGTATTCCTATCATTCATATTCTAACATTTAAATAATCGAGTCAATTTAACAAATCAGTGTCATTACTAGTGCTTCTATACACAAATGAATCTATTTTTCTATTGATTGTGCGCATATGTCAAAAAAAGAATGTAAGGCAAACTTGGGAAGTACCACATTTTATTGCCATTGTATTGGCCTATTTTACATACACATGTTCGTGAAAAATGACAGATTATTTTATACAATGTTGAATTTATAGAATGTTTAAGAAAATTGCAATATGTATGTAACATTAACAAAAGGATATGTATCTGATATTCTGATATTCTGATTATAGTTAAATATCTCAAGTGCCTTCATACAACAAAGTAAATATATATTTATATAATTTATACTATCTACTACATAAATGGATATAACAATTGTAATACAATAAAAAGATGTAAACACTGAATTAATATAGTATTTTCATCATGAACATCAAAGTATAATTCTAGTTTTGAGGTTATGTCAGAAGTTATTCTTCATCAAGTATACCGCGGAAAGATAAAGTTTTAAAAACATTCGATTATACTATGTGAAAAAATAAATGTAATCATTAGCAAATTAAGTAATAACAAAGTAACAAAAAGACATTTAGAATAATAAATTTTAACTTGATAAAGAACATGTTGAAACTGATTGAACCTAGATATGGCTACAAAACTGTAAACATAACCTTCAATTTCGTTACCTAAATATATACTTATTTATAATACTACATATGAATATTATATGAATGGATAAAACGGTAACAGATATCAAGTATGTTTTCTATTAATTTAGTAACATTAGACAGTTACCAGTCAGTTCCAACACCTGAATTGGACGTAGTATTTTCACATTTTCGTGGAGCAGAGATTAGGCAAGTTCCAGTTATTCGAATATTTGGATCTACTCCTCGTGGAATAAAAACGTGTCTACATGTACATGGTGTATTCCCATACATGTACGTACCGTGTACGATAGAAAATAATGTCGACAGTTTCATGTACAAATTAGCAACAGCCATAGACTCTGCGATTAACGTATCTATGGGGTCTGCAGTGTCTAATAATCAACATGTTTATAAAATTCAAAAAGTTTCTGGAATTCCCCTTTATGGATTTCACAAGACAGAGCATTTATTTTTTAAAATTTATTTTTACAACCCAGCAATGATTAAACGTGCAGCTGATCTTTTACAAAATGGTATGATACTTAGTCATAGTTTGCAACCACATGAAGCTCATATTCCTTTTATTTTGCAATTTATGATGGACTATAATCTTTATGGTATGAGCTTAATAAATTTAAAAGATGTTAAACACAGACAATGCATGTATACAGATTCGAAAGAGAATTCCCAGAATGAAAACTCATTGTCTTTTTCTAATTCAGAAAAGTATCTCCCTGGATCTGTGATTAGACAGAGTACATGCAAATTAGAAGTAGATGCACAAGCAACTGACATACTTAATAGACAAGAAATTCAGAATGTTTTAGATATAAATCCTGGTATTGCAGCAATCTGGAACAATGAAAAATGTAGAAGAGAAGCTAATGGCTTACCAGATGTTGAATCGCAACTATTGTATTCAAATACCAATGATAGAGTTTATGCTGCAACAGATAATGATATTTATCAAGAGGAAAGGTTAGCGCAAAGGTTACAAGCTATTTCACAAATTAGTGAAACTGTAACATCTGCAACATCGAGTACAGTCAGTTATCCTCTAGAAGTAGGAAATGAAGATAATCTGATTAATGCTTCATGTGTATTAGATCATTTCAAATTATCCGTATTAGATGAAGAAAGTAAAGATGAAATAGACTTGAACAATCAACTGTTAGGCTTTGAAAAGCCTAATATATCAAAACAGACTTCACTTCTTGATTGGAGCTTGGAGACCAGTATTTTAGATACAGGAGATATCCATTTAGTGGAAATACTAGCTAATTTAGCAGGACCAAATGAAAAGGACAAAATTGTAGATGATGACAGTATGCTAGGTTCTCAGTATTCTATATTGAGTAATCAAATCAAACAAGATAATGAGGATGATGAAGATGATGAAGTTGAAAATCTAAATATTACAAGTTTTGATTTAGATAGCCTTAGTTCATGGAATTCAGATACTAAACCCTCTACTGAATCATATGTACCTGAAATTGGAAATAAAGAAGAAGAAATTAACAAAGATACAGCAGGCATACTTGAGAATAATATTGAAGATATATCTCTATCGAGTTTTCCACAGTATGATGGTTTGAATGATCTATTTTTAAAAGATGAAAACCATTTTTCAAAGAAGCCTGCTGTTAATAAAGTAAAAAAATGGAAGAAAACATGTAAAAAATTAGAAACAAAATCAAAAGATACAAACAAAATTCAAAGATATAGTGACCTTTTGCCAAAAAAGACACTAACGTTTCAATTAAATTTCAATGAAGTATCAAACATGAACAACAAATTATGGCGAATTTTAAGTAAATTAGATCACCAAGATTTAGATGTTTATGATGTAGATGAGGTAGTGCATGCATTATCATTAATTGATTATGCAAATTTAAACAAGTCTACTAATCAAATTAATCTTGATAAATCACATTTTAAAATCAACGATCGTACGATCGAATTAAGCATACCAGCACTTGATGGTAATGCAAGTGATAGCTCTAGCGAATCTGAGTTAGATCAAGACATTACCATTGATAGACAAGAGAAACGCATTTGTGTTTACAAATCAAGCACAAAATCTAAAAAAGAAGCAAATGTTCATTCTTCGTTAAAAAAACGGAGAATAGAGCTTGAAAATTCTGATTTTGGTTCTCCTCGTAAACGCCGGAATATTTGTTCAAATTTATTAGAAAATGAATTGCATTATACTCCAACTAAAATACGAAGCATACAAAATCATTCTTTATTAGGAAAATATTCTCCTCTCAGTATAAAAATATTATCTCCAAAAGCAGAGAGAAATTTAGAAAAAAATTCATCTATAGATGAACCTTCGAGTTCAAAATCAACTTGTACAACTCCAAAGCGAAATAGTAATAAATTGAGAATGGATTTACTTCACAATAAAGTTTGTGGTCTGAGTTCCATCTCAGTAAGCTCTAAGCACAATCAATGTGTAAGTATTAGCAATCAATCTGAATCTCTTGATTCAGAGAAAGAAGAATGTAATAATACTAAAAATAATAAAGAGGTTCGTAAGCGATTAAGCTTTTGGGATACTAATGAGAAGATAATTGATTGTACAACGATTAATATTGATGAATGCCATTCTGAACATTCGTCAGAGAATGAAGAAAGAAAAATTGAAATTCCTTTTGAAAGTGAAAACGATATTTGTAATATAACATATACGCAATATCTTAACGAAAAATTGAAATCACAATTAGACAATCCAAATTCTGTATCAGTAGAAATTAGAAGTGGAATTACAAAAGATAAAATAATCAGTATCACTACTAAATATAATCCACCAAGTAGAGAAAGAGTTATAAACACTATGAAGACATATGATATTTCAGAATGTAAATCAAGTGGACCATTCTTTAGCAATAAAGTTGACCTTGTGAAACAAAAAGAAAGTTCAAATAAAAACACCAGCATTAACGATTCGATTTCATTTAAATCCAACTTGTTCGGAATTACGGGTATTAAGCTTTGGCGTAGAATGAAAATAAACGAATTTTATCCTTCTGGAGCAAGTATAAAGTCTCGCGATATAAAAAGAGTTCTTGCAGGATATAATTCGATAATAATACTACCGCTTTTTCATCCACCGACACCGAAACACGTTAGAACTTGGTTACGAGCAAAAAAATATTTATTAGAAAGAAATAATAAAGAGAATGAAATAAGAAATAATTCTGATGTAAAAGATACCAAGGAGACAGAGACAAATTCATCAAATTCAAATTGTGATAAAAAGTTGATAGAGTATGTTGATATTGAAAAACATAATTCAATCAATGAAAAGTTCACTAATAATAAAGATACAAAAGCAGAGTCGCAAAATTGTAACAGTTCAAAATATTCAGATGGATCTAACGATACTCTCAATCCTTCTTTAGAGAAAATGCTTGAAAATCCATTGTTATTTAAAAATAATGACACACAGCAACATTTAGGAATTTCATATGGGCAGATTGAATATACTATCAAAGGACATAGTGGTAATGTCGGAGACGAAAATTTTCAAAATGCCAAAGGCCTTACTGTTGTAAATATTAACTTCGAAAATGAGACCTTATATAATACTGCTAATTATTAATATTCCTAAAATGTCATATTTAAATTATTACAGCATCAATATCTGACGCTATTATCTGTGGAAATACATGTTGTCACACGTGGGAAACTTCTACCTGATCCAGAACATGATTCAATCGGAGCAATATTTTATGCTATTCACAATGATACTCCATTATCCACACATACTGAACAAATAAAACATGGTACATGTTAAAGTATCATCCTTCATGAGTTTTTATAAAAAATTCGCGACTAACGGTAAGAATAATGTTGTTTCAGGTGCTGTTGTTGTGAATTGTTCTATACCTAATTCAAAAGTAAAAAGTATTTATTCGACTAGTACTACATGTCCTACATCGTACGTCGTAAGTGAAGAGGATTTATTAAATAGTCTGATAACATTAATTAGATATTGTGACCCAGATATTTTAGTTGGTTGGGAAATAGAATCTCTTTCATGGGGTTACATTCTACAGAGAGCATCTTGTATCGGCTTCAATAATTTCATATGGCAAATTTCGAGAATTGCAAATGTCGCTCCTACCTATAAAGGAAAACCATCAGACAAAGACAATTTAACTGATACAAAAATACCAGGTCGAATTATTCTTGATGTTTGGAGAATAATGCGACATGAAATACCATTATTGGACTACACATTTGAAAATATTATGTATAATGTTTTACGAGAAAGAATTTCATGTCCTCCTTTCCAAACTTTAACAGAGTGGTGGAAGCATAAAAATATATCAATATGGTGGAGAGTTATTACACATTATATTACAAGAGTTATTGGCACACTGAGAATATTGATACATCGTGATATTATTGGACGAACATGCGAACATGCACGACTTTTTGGAATTCAGTTTTACGAAGTTTTCTCACGAGGTTCTCAATTTCGAGTTGAATCAATGATGCTAAGGCTCGCGAAACCTTTGAATTACATTCCTGTTTCACCATCTATACAACAACGAGCAAATATGCGAGCACCCGGATCTCTACCACTTATCATGGAACCAGAATCTGTATTTTATACTGATCCATTGATAGTTCTTGATTTTCAAAGCTTGTATCCAAGCATTATTATTGCTTATAATTATTGCTTTTCTACATGCTTAGGTCGTGTAGAGCATATTGGACATCACGAACCATTCGAGTTTGGTGCGACTACGTTAAGAGTGAAAAAAAGCACTGCTCAAAAGTTACAAGGAAAAATAAATTTCTCACCTTGTGGGGTAGCCTTCGTAAAACCAGAAATACGACTCGGAATATTGCCGCGTATGCTCACAGAAATTTTAAATACACGATTAATGGTGAAAGAATCCATGAAAATTCATGGAAATGAAAATTCTGTATTGCAGCGTATTCTTTATTCGCAACAGCTAGGTCTCAAATTAATTGCAAATGTTACTTATGGTTATACAGCTGCTAATTTTAGCGGAAGAATGCCTTGTATCGAAGTATGTACAATATACACGATTAATATATAAGTAATATATTTCATAAATATGTAACTGAATTAATTATATTTCTAATAATATTTTAGATTGGAGATAGCGTTGTTAGTAAAGGTAGAGAGACATTAGAACGAGCAATTAAAATCGTAGAATCTACACCAAAATGGGGAGCACAAGTCGTTTATGGAGATACAGATTCATTATTTATTCTTCTGCCTGGAAAATCAAGAAAAGATGCATTTATTATTGGAGCAGAAATTGCCGATACCGTTACCGCAGCCAATCCTCCCCCTGTAAAACTTAAATTTGAAAAAATTTTACAGCCAGCAATATTACAAACTAAAAAAAGATATTGCGGTTACATGTACGAATTTCCTGAGCAAACAGAACCCAAATATTTAGCTAAGGGTATTGAAACTGTCCGTAGAGATGGTTGTCCAGCTGTAGCTAAAATACTGGAAAAGTCATTGAAGATTTTGTTTGACACTAAAGACCTCTCTTTACTGAAACTATACGTTACTAGGCAATTTGATAAAATTTTATGCAGGAAAATATCAATTGAAGACTTAACATTTGCAAAGGAATTTCGTGGTTTACGTGGTTATAAAACGAATGCTTGCGTGCCTGCATTAGAACTAACGCGAAGATTAATACGAAAAGATCCTCGAGCTATACCTCGCACCGGTGAAAGAGTACGATACGTTATAGTAGCTGGTGCTCCAAATCAACCACTTATTCATTGTGTGCGAACTCCAATGGAAGTGATTGTAGATGAGGGTTTAAATCCAAATTCTGTCTATTATATAACTAAAGTTATTATACCACCTCTTAATCGATGTTTAAATCTAATTGGAGTCGATGTTAATACATGGTATAATAGATATAGAATATTCTACTTTTACATTACATTACATATTATTCTAAATACTGATCCTACATTACATTTTCAGGTATAAAGAAATGTCTCATCGGCAAATATCCGATAAAGCAGTTAATTTGTTTACAGACAATCAAAAGTTAACTATTCGACAGTTTTTCAGTTCTGTTACATGTGCCTCTTGCGGAGATAAAACGCAGAAGGACATTTGCGCGAATTGCATGGTACATTCAAGTCAAACAGTAACTATTCTACACGAAAAGATACGATGGTTGGAACGCGCTCATTCCGAACTTACTGCTGTAAATATATAATTTCTATATTTCACTTTCTATATAAACACTTTTAACCATTCGCATAATTTTTTTCTAGATTTGTCAGTCTTGTACCGGTTACTTGGAAAATATAAAATGTGAATCATTGAATTGCCCAGTATTATATCGTTTATCTCAAGCTCGAAGAGATCTTATACAAATACCTTATTTAAACAATATTATCTGTGATGGTGGTATAGAAAGAAGGAATACAACATAGTAATGTTTATTTTGGTTTGCTAAATTGTATACACTTTAATTTTTATAATTATAGCGAAAATTATTTTTATATGCTAGAAAAATAAATTGTAGTATAGATATTTAATGTATCGAATTTTCGAATTAAATTTCGTGGCATTAGCTTGAAAATGGCGGATCCTAACCTTAACGTTACTTCATGACTCTAATGATAGGATCTCTGTAGTCACAGATTCATTCTGTTTCAATCGTGCTATCTTTAAGTATATTAAGTAGTTTATGATTTCCCGTAAGAGAAGAGCCTTCGATTAGCTTTGATCACGCTTCTTCGTTGAAATTGAAAGAAGTTCTATTCATCGGATTCGATAACCATGTCGTTAAAAACTTAGTATCATCATTAAAATACGTATACCTTTGTTAGAAATTAAATCCAGTATCATCTCTAATGTATACCTTTCCCGCGCAGTGCTATTTTGAAAATAGCTGTTTATTAAATGATAATTAAGTGATTCCGTCGTTAAACAATAACCGATTGGAATTCAAACATTTATCATTTCTGTGTAGATTTACTATCTGCTTTATTAATAGACAAATATTTTTGGAATTACGTTAAATGCTGCATTTTATCACAATCATTATGACTATTCGTTTCGCTGATATCCTGCAAATTGCAATATTAATATGTTCATTGCGATCCAAATTTGACTGAATATGCATTTATAAATTAGAAAAATTGATAGACTTAGCTTGGTATATAGGATTAGCTTAAATCTGTTGTGACGTTACGGAAGAACATTTACAAAATTTGTACGTATTATTTTTCGTCTTATCAGTTAATCATGTACAGGTTATTCCTGAGATATAATGTTATATACTATGTACTATGTTTTGTACATGTATTGGATTTATTTAATTAATCTTAAGTGTTTGTTTTCAATGGGTTATTGTCAATTCATTATTTGATGTCTTGATGGATTCTTTAGTGGATACAATGTCGAAGCGTAATAAGTCACCTGACAGTAAACAATGCTGTTTCTGTGGACTATCAGAGGATAATGAACTAGAATTTGGAAAGATCTACAAACATGGTGATATTGTCACCCATTATTATTGCTTGGTATATAATTCATTACACAGTTAAATATAAATTTGTAATATAATATGCATGCAAGTATTTTAAATCTATATTATTTTAAATTTATAGCTTTTATCATCAAACATGGAACAAAAAGGAACTGATAGTGAGGGCATTTTGGGCTTTTTAGCATTTGATATACAAAAAGAATTACGTAGAGGAAAAAGATTGGTAATTATAATTATGTAAATACAAGTGAAAGGTTTCAGAAAAGAAATTAAAATTTTTTATTTTTTTAAGGTATGCACGTATTGTAAGAGAAATGGTGCCACTTTGGGGTGTTGTAATACTAAATGTAAACGAATATTTCATTATCCTTGTGGATTAAGGGCTGGGACCTTAAACCAGTTTTTTGGTGAATTTAGGTATATAACTTGTGATTCATATTTTGTTTAAAATTTAAATGTTATTAAGAAATGGAAATATTAGTATGGATTATGATCTTCCAGGTCATTTTGTAAATATCATAGACCAAAACAGAAAATAGATCCTCAAGTAACAAACGAATTAGCAAAAACCAATGAAGTGAATTGTTATATCTGTTATGACAGTGTGAATTCTAGCGATATAATTAATACAATATGGGCTCCGTGTTGTAAAAAAAATGCCTGGTTTCATAGAAAATGTGTTCAAGTAAGATGATATATTGTACATTACTTTATTTTTTGAAACATATAAAGGTGATTTAAAATTAAAAAAAAAATTTTGTATTTTAGCAACTTGCTGTAAGTGCTGGTTATTTTTTTAAATGCCCTTTATGCAATGATAAGAAAACATTTCAAGAAGCAATGTTAGAGTTTGGTATTTTTATTCCTAGTCAGTAAGTGAAAAATAAATGTATAATTTATACTAAATACCGAGTCATAGGTAATAATTAATAAGATACTTTGTTTTCAGAGATGCTTCTTGGGAACTTGAGCCAAATGCATTTCACGAACTTTTACATAGACATGATCAATGTGATGCTCCTATATGTCTTTGTCCTAAAGGTAGAAAATATACAAGTTTTAATGCGTAAGTGAAAATGTGCTCTGTTTACATTTTATACAATTGGATAAACAGCTTCGTATTTCTTTTCTGTGAAAATATATTTTAACAGGAAATGGGAACTGGCACTTTGTCGAACCTGTGGTTCTCAAGGAATTCACATGGCTTGTGGACAACTTAAATGGGCTAATCCTGTTTGGGACTGTTCAGAATGTATCTCTATACTAAGTAAGCTATAGATGAATATTCCTTTTTTTAACAAATGAACTTACCAATATACTTAACTAGAAATAAAGTCGCTATTGTTATATTTTCTTTCTTTTTCTTCTATACAGGTAAATCTACAGAAACTACAAATTCAAACACAACTAGAAGTATGTTACAACAGTATGTATTGATTCTTTTGATCTGTTTATTAATTTTACGTATTTAACTATTAAAATAATTGGAAATTATTTAATTAGGATTAACACTGACTCAGAAGATAGCGACAGTGACATTTCTGTTGGAAAAGAATCACCTCCGCCATTTATATCAAATATGTCAATTTCTACTTCTACAATACATACATCTACTGTTAAACAACGTCCTGGTCCACGGACATTTAAAATAAAACAACAACTTAAAGCAGCTAGAGAAATGCAAATGTTAGTATTAATGAGTTAACAGCTATTACACTTTATTGTGTAATATACTAAATTCTTTTATGCTAACAAAAATGTATTTTTAATGTCGATCAGAATGCAATTAAGCAATAGTTGTAAGGAAGGAACTAGTATAGGAATCTTGGACTCGACACATGTAGAGGAATCAACTAGTACTAACGAAAATGCTAAGATGAAATTTGATGTGTTATTAGAAGAGGAAATAACGGAAGCATTATCAGCTCCATCGAGTGATAATGTAATTATGCTTGATAGCGATGACGACGTTGTAGAGGTAGATATATAAATACATTAAAGTTCACGTAACTGTTACATTAGATATACAGAATATACCATTCGTATGTATTTATTTATTCGTAAAAATGCTCACACGTTTTTTACAGGTCATTGATAATAGTTCATTAAAAAATACACCAGTTACCCTTAATGTTAACGAAACTGAAACAAAAAATTTATCTCAATCCAGAAATGAAATTCCAGAAATGAATACGATACGTAATTATAATCTACAAACAATAGGGAAATTAATACACATAAATGATACGAGACAGAGTTTTAATAATAATTTTTTAAGAAGTAACTCAAATGTTACTAGATCTGTTCTTTCAAACGAAAACAGTTTACAAAATGAGGTTATATCTGATAGCTTAAAAGAGACGATACATCCGAACAAAGAAAGTGAATACAAATGTGTTGACATCTTTCCTGACATAAAAATTACAAATGTAATTTCTTTGACACCTGAAGAATTTGAAAAGGTGCCATGTACAGTTGAAGAACAGAAAGAAAACAATGTTGAGTGCTTAAAATCACACTATAGTAATGAATTATTAAGTAGTACACCAGTATTTCAGTCTTTGCTTTCTCCAAGTAGTTGTTCAATGTCAAATTTAAAAAGAAAATTTGACGATACTTTCAATTCAACAACTACACTTGAAGATAAATCTAAAAGAACAAGAAACCTCAATACACACGAACTAGAGCAACAATCAGATTCATTTAGAAGTCTCGAAACTGCCAATAGATCTATTACACCTGTAAATAATGTTTCAACTTCGACATTTGCTAAAAATTGTGTCCAAATTAATAATAATATGTATGATACTTCTGCAAATATACCTAATATTAAAAGCATAGATCAATTGCACATTCAAGTCAAACACACTTGTGTTACAAACAATCATGCATTAAATAAACAGACATCTAATGCAGAATGTTCTGTTGTGGACAAGTGCATATTATATGATGTAAGTGATGCATCAAAATATAAGGAAGAAGAAAAAAACGTCGCAAATGAAGGATACACAACAAATGTAAGTAATATGCTCTATATTAAAAATGAATGAATTGATATTAATATAAAATATATTCAATAATTCATATGCACGGGAAGGTATAGAAGTGTTAAATTTTAATAATCTTGCTCTGTACCCTGTGCAATACATTTGATGTAAATGTCAATAATAGAATAAAATAAAATCTGAAATCGTTAATCCTTAAACTGTATGATCTTTTGAAGTACACCATTTTATATAGCAAAGTTTTTTTTTACTTTCGTATATTTTAATTAAGTAGTATTATTAAGTTATTCCATATGTAATTGATTTAAGAATTAAATATTAAACAATCTTTAAAATCTTCAAAGTTATTCAGATAAAAGATAAAAAAAAAAGTGCTGATAAGAAAACCTTGAATACGAATAAAACAGAAGCTAAATTAATTATGGAATGACCTAACATACACAAAGCTGTTTTGCACTGCAGTTTAAGGATTAATTCTGTTGAAAAGTAGGGTACGGGGATATTGTATCATTATATTCATTTAATAAACAATATGTTTTGTTTGTAAAATTAAAAAAACAGACGTAAATATATACAGCATGAACAAGCATCTTTTATTTAGGTGTTCTTCAGTATAATAGACAATAAAAATGCAATGTTTGACTTAAAAACACAACATTTTTTTGTAATCAATTCTAGTCAATAAGAATAATAAGTTTTATTTCACTTGTTAGGCCAAATATTGCATTTATATAACTCATTATACTAAGGAGATCCTATATCTTTAATTGAAATGTTTATTAATAAACTATGCTTGTTTATGCTAGCCGTATCCATTTCCCCGTACCTTCTTTTGAATGTATAACTTGGAATTCTAACAGTGTGACGGGGATGCAGGCACCAGACCTGCTGCTAAATCAAGATATCAGAAGTACGCAAATGCTACAAGGATTGATCCTACAGAAGAATTTATCAAATTGGATCGCATCCTCTCACCATCAGACAAGTCAGGTGACTCAGATAAATGGAAATCACAAAACGATACTGAGATGTGAGTATTATAAATCATCTTTAATCGCATCTGAACATGTACGATTTTCTTATATCAATTTGTATGTTTTTTTCTTATTCTTCATGTGGATAAAATATTGGGTAAGTGATTTAAAAACTTTAAGTATACGACGAAAATATGTAAACAATTTCTATGAATTGTAGGGCAACCATTTCAATGCATAGGACACCAAATGCCATGTCCAGCAATCTTTCCCACGAAAAAAGAAATGGAAAAACCGAATGTAATAACAATCGATTGATACCAGAATACATACGTTTACGTGACCTTAAGTTTCGTGTATATAATCCGAATAATTTACAGGTAGCATTATATTTTCATAAAATATATAATTATCATCATCATGAATTAAAAATATTTTACCAGATGTATGTTACTCATATATGATTTACATTTGTTATGCAGATGACCTTATACGATAAATTTTCTGTAAATATTAATATGGAAAGTGCAACTAACACGAAAAAAAACATGAAACTTGACGCATCTTCACGGAAGGCTGTCCAGCAGAAAGTTCTTAAAATGCAAAGTGAAACATCTTCAAATTTCAGATCTGGAAATGTTTTCCACAGTATTTCATCTACTTATAACAAAGATAAGACTAAGTATAATGTGTTTATTAACGATCAATCTGAAAGTTTTCGCGACGATGCAAAGGAGAACCTGGATCCAATAATAACGATACCTTGTAAAAGTATAACAGATAATTCAGTTACGAGTACAACTGCAGTTGCTAATAATTTAACTGTTTCTACGAATAGTAATAATCACAGTGAAGATGAAAATTCGACGCATTTTGTACACAACACGTCCAAAATAATCGAGGAAGATAACTGGCGCAACCGAGAAAATTTAGTTAATAACATTAATATAGTTAACAATGCAGAGAATACGTTTGATGTAGAAGAACGTATTAATGCAACACCATATGCGACTGTACATTCTAATGAGAAACATTTTAGAAATATTAGTGATATGCAAAATATTCAAAGTTTAAACTCTGATCACGTAACAAGTAGTATAGGCGAGAAGCGTAACGTCAAAATAGGTATAAGAAATGATTCTTTTGAGTCGACAAAATTAGTCCATCGGGCATTATATTTCGAGGATCGTGTAAATTCGAAGACGGAGAATAAGACGAAAAGTATGATTGAAACATGTTTCAAAATAAGTATCGATTTAAAAAAGATAGAAAACTTTATCGATAATAACCCAGATTTGTTCTTTATATACAAAAAGAAGGATGACGAACGATGTTTCGAAAAATTAGACTTTTTAAAGGAACGGACTGATACAACAGAAACAATTAATATATCAACCAAACATATAACCTTACCTAAAAATAAAGTAGCAGAATTGAAAAATCAAATAAATGAAGATAATAAAAAAACTGAAGACGTAATAGGTACAGAAAATTTAGCGCAAGAACCAAGATATATTAAAAATTCTCTACGTAATAATCAAAAACGTGATTTGCAGCGTACTAATAATCATTTTGAAAAACAATGTATTTTCAATAGATAACGTAACGTAAATATATATATATTATATATATAGAATAAATATATTTTAAAACTTCTGAAAGTATTAGTTTAAACGAGTTATTAAACAGATTCGTTCACAATGTTGGTACAGATATCATTTTTGTACTTACTATTACTGGTACTTACTTTACTTATTATAAAAATTGTAATATTATAACCTTTTATCGATCTTGTAAAATTGTATAACACAGTAAATTGATATTGCCATTTTAGAAAGTGCTATAATTATTTATCGTGCTTTTTAACAGTATATAAAAGAGACTGTACATGTATATTCATTAAATAAATATTTAATTTAAACTTTCAAAACATTCGCTGCTAAGGCAAACAGGACAGCATTTGTTGTCATATACATAATGTACCTAATCTTTTTGAGAACTTGATTCTTGCCTAAATCTAACACTTACCATTTCAATACGGTTTAGACTTATCACTGCAAGGGCCATAAACCACATCAGTATTTTCACACGTTATGTGGTATCTTACTTGCTTCATATGAAAGAACTAAATGTTAAAAAGTAGCAGTGAACATATTAATGTATATAATTTATAAAATTCTCCTTTATATTTCTAATGTAATTCGTAGTATTGAAACATAATATAAATATTAATTCTTAATATTTTAAATATGGTGTACATTTTTTAATTAAACGTTTACATATTTATTTAAGATAAAAAATAAATATAAGTGTAGATATTTAAAGTAGTTTTAAGATTCTTATATGACGTGTTAAGTTAGGTAGTGTAGTGCTGAAATTTGTCTAAATATTTTACAACGAATTAAAAGAAACACTACCACTTTTAATGTCAATTTTTATAAAGGAACATATTCTTATTCGATCAGCGTTGAAAAAATACAAATAAATACATAACCTCAAAAAACAAAACTAAAACAAACTTTATATACCATTAATTTTAGGTTACAAAATATAGGAAATGTTTCACTGAAATTATATACTACAAACGTGGCCCTTCGAAGTAATTTTTATTGCGTTAATTATTTCGAAGTCTTGTAAAACGATTTTAGTAGCTACGACCAAAAAGAGTATAAAATTTCGGTTTGTTCTGGCAGCTGGGATGGATGCATTTTTGTTTATCAAGAGGTATTGATGAGGATGGTTGTTGAAATGGTATGCAAAGACTTTTTGCACCCATTGATAGTGTTCCAGGTTCCTCTCCTATATCATCCCTACAAATATATATATATATAAACATGTATTATTAATATAAAAACCTGCTTTAATATGTACCGTGCACTGTCAGCTTTAATATTATCTTCACAAGACATTTCTCCACAAAACGGCGATAACAATATGTTCTTTTTATTAAGTTCAGAACAAAAGTCAATCCAAGTATCTACGCGTTTGATATGATCATTTAAATCTTTTCTTGCTCTGTTAAAAAGAATGTTAACCACTTTATAATAATGAATCAAATTATTATTAATAATGATTGTATATAAAACTTTGCTACAATGTACTTACTTAGCCAGTAGGCTTGATTGGATATCAGTCAATAATTCATGTAATGCGGTAAGCACTTTCAATCTATTTGCAACTACTCTTTCCGAAGTATCTCTGCGTACAAATGTAACTTGATTCTTTTCCAGGTCCTTTGGACCTAATTCGATTCTTACAGGTACACCTTTCAATTCCCAGTGATTAAATTTCCAACCAGGGGTACGATTGTTACGATAATCAGCTTTTACTCTGAGCGTCTTATCTTTTGATAGTTCATCTAGTAATTTGTTACATTCGTTAAATAATAATTCTCTTTGTTGAGGTGTTGTATTTGCCGTGATTCCACAGGGTATTATAACAGCTTGAATACAAGCTACTTTTGGTGGTAATACTAAACCTTTATCATCTCCATGAATCTATAAATAAAGTGTTAAGTTTCTTTATGCACAAATATTATATTAAGATAAAGGACTACATACCATTATCATGACTCCAATCGTTCGAGTCGTTAATCCCCATGAATTTTGATAAACAAATGTTTTCTCATCTCCATCTGTAGCGCCTTCTATTTGGATATTAAACATTTTAGAGAAATTTTGTCCAAGGTGGTGACTCGTTGCTCCCTGTATCGCGCGACCGCTCGTTGAGATAAAAGCTTCTATGGTCGTAGTATAGTCACCACCGGCAAACTTCTCTTTTTCAGTTTTACGGCCTTTAACAACAGGAACTGCTAATAGGTCTTCGTACACTTGCGCGTACATATTTAAAATAATCATAACTTCTTCATCCGCTTCAGCTTTAGTGGCAAAAGCTGTATGTCCTTCCTGCCATAAAAATTCTCTCGTACGTAAGAAAGGTTTAGGGTCTTTGAATTCCCATCTCTGTAATAAAATAGAGTGAATATATTTCATTATATTGATTTTTTAACGAAATGTCAATATCTTCTTCGATAGATTTCATTTAATACCTACCACTACATTGTTCCACTGATTAAGTTTTAGGGGTAGCTCGGTATCAGACCTTAACCATTTGGCATAAGCTGGATACATTACAGTTTCTGATGTTGGTCTTATAGCAATAGGCTCTGCTAAGTCTGATTCTCCACATTTCGTGACCCACGCAACTTCAGGTGCAAAATCTGCTATATGTGCTTTTTCTTTCTCTAATACTGTTCGTGTAACGAAAATAGGAAAGTAGCATTCTTGGACGCCTAATTTCTCTATTTCCGTATCGATAAATCCCTTTATTACTTTCCAAATGGTAAAACTCCACGGACGAAGAATGTAACAGCCTGATACATCGTAGTACTCGATCATACCGCTTTTAGTAATAATTTGAGAATACCACTCAAAGAAATTTTCTTCTTTCTTTACTTCCATTCCTAATCTTGTTCCAGTTTTTCCAGCATCCGGATCTTTCATACCTTCAGCTTTAACTATTTCTTTGTTTAAAGCATTCTTCTGTTTTTCATTTTTAGAAGTATCTTCCTTTTTCTTCTTCTTAGATGACACATCAGACTTTTGTGGTTTCCATTCTTGTCCAGTTAACTGTTTATAATTATTTTTCAGATCTAAAAGAATTTTTACCTCTTGATCAATAAGACTTTTGTCTGATTTAGAATCTTTCAGTTGTCTTACTTTATTTCCCTGACTCTGTATGTTATCAGAGAGTTGATCAATATTATTTTCTTCCTTATTTTTCGCATTAGTTGGCGGAGTAGCACACGGCTTCCACGCTTCGCCAGTTGCAGCTTTGTAATCAGCCTTCAATTTTAAAAGTAACTTTACTTCTTGATCAATTATATCTTTTTGTGCTTTCGACGCTTTCAATTGCCTTACTTTGTCCCCTTGTTTTTCTATTTCCTTAGATATTTGTTCGCCATCAATTGATGTTATATTTGTTGTAAGAGCTGTTACTTTGTCGCATGTTGTTAACATAGTAGCGCTAGATGGATTCCAGTCTTGACCAGTCATAGATTTGTAATCTGACTTCAGAGCAAGAAGTTTCTTTACTTCATCATCGACGATACTTTTCTCTGCTTTTGAGGATTTTAATTGTCTTACTCTATCACCTTGTTTTTGAATTTCATTAAGTAATTTGTTAACACTCGATTCTGTAGATACACTTTTCTTTTCTATTTCTGCCCAATCAGTACCCGTTTTATTTTTATACTCGGTCTTTAATTTTGAAAGACGTTGCATTTCCTGGTTTATCTTTAGCTGTAATTCTTTAATTTCATTTTCTTGCTGTATAATGTCTGTGAATAATTTGTTTTTATCAGAGTTAACAGGTGTCGTTTGCAATGATTTATTTGGAGTCATTCTTAGTGTCCATTCTTTTCCAGTACATTTTTTATAATCAGCCTTTAAACTTAGAAGGATTTTTACTTCTGTATCAATTGCAGCTTTATCTGCTTTTTGGGATTTTAGATTACGAACTTTCTCACCTTGGGCAACAATACTTTCATTGATTACATTCGCGTCTTGTGTTGCGCCATTTTTTTGAGAGGATTCTTTTGTGGAAGTTGTTGGTACAGTAATAGATGCAGTTTTTACAGCATTAGGAGTATGTCCATCCGGTATATGAAATAGAACTAAGGGTTGTTCTCTGGAAGAAAACGGACTAGCTGCCGCGTAAGGGACATCGCATCGAAAGAATCCTTTTCTTTGTAATTGAATTATTTCTCCCTTCTTTACGCGTTTCAATTCCTCTTCTCCAAGCATTTGCACCTCCCTTCTTGTAACTTTTGCAACAAAATTTTTGAAGTCGTCATCCTTTCCCAAAACTGGCTTACTTATAATATGATCAAAGTAAACAGCATAACATGGAACCGAATTAACTTTTTTAACATCAGCAGTCTCATCGGAAGGTATCGCTAACCATGTAATTTTCAATGTATTTTTGTAATCCTTGTTCTCCAAATTTAATTGCGCTAATATTTTCTTAACAACGCCATTTTCTTTTTCAATTTTATTTATTAATATGTTGCCCCAATTAATGAAAGTTGTGTTTTGATTTTCGACTAGCATATCTGCATCATCTCTTTCTATGTACAACAGTGAACTTGTTAACACTTGTTTAGTACCTTTTGATGGATCTTTTGGATGATTTTGTACAGTTAACCAGTCTTCCTTCACATTGTCTATGTGTACCGGTACGAGTTTATCATAATCCATAGCGGTATACCTAGTCGCAATGGGATCGATCACTTTTTTATTAAATGCCCATATTTTATCCCACTCCATAAAAACGACAGATCGCGAACTACCTTGCGCAATAATAAATTGCTTTAATCCCTCAACAGTCATTCCTCTTCTCAAAATACCTCTCACTGTTGGAAAACGTGGATCGTCCCACCCATCGACTAAGCCGCTATCAACGAACCAAGTTAATTTTCTTTTAGACAAAACTGTGTTAGTCATGTTCAAGCGTGAGTATTCCCATATATATGGGCGCCTCAATCCCAGGGCATCGACAAACCAATAGAATTGAGCATCTCTGTCGTGATATTCTGTTGTACGTAATGTATGCGTAACATTTTCGATAGCATCAACAATAGGACAAGCAAAGTCATATGTTGGATACACCTTGTATTTTGTTCCCGTTCGAGGATGCGGTTCTGGTTTACATCGATAAATTGTTGGATCTCGCAAACATCCGTTTGCCGATTCGTAATCAATTTTTGCTCTAACGCAACATTCTTGACCTTTAGGCGTACCCTGCTGCATTTCGTTCCATTTCTCAAGATTTTTCTCAATAGAATTATTTCTATTTGACGACATTAATTTTTGATCGCGTTGTTCCTTCATTAATTGAGGATTAGTATCGTCAACATATGCCATTCCCTCTTTTATTAATTTAGTACAGTACTGCAGCATTAAATCAAAGTAATCAGACGAATGTGTAAATCGATCTGGCTTAATTTGCAGTAATTCTAAGTCTTCTAGAATAGCTTTCTCAAATTCTACATTCTCTTTTGCAGGATTTGTATCATCGAATCTCATAATAAGTTGCCCTTTAAATGCTTCTGCATAATACTGATTTAACAAAGCAGCCTTGGCATGACCAATATGGAGATACCCACTTGCTTCAGGAGGAAAACGTACTACAACTTTACCCATTTCTGCTCCAGGTAAATCAATGAATTTTCCTTCTTGTTTTCTTTGTCCAGTTTGTCCCTGCTTACCATTAGTTTTTTCAGACTTCACATCGCTTGGAGCAGACATTATAGCATTCTTTTTAATCGAAGACAAAACCTCTTCAACAACAGACAATGAAAGGATCTGTTTATACCATCTAGTTATGTTGGCAAATTGCTTTTCAAACTTTGCCAAAAACTGTTTGTTTAAAAGAATACAAAATACATGAATATCAGCTAATGTTAATTTTTTGGAGACCAACCAAGTGGTTGTCATCAATGCATTATCCAAATATTGCAATGCATTCTCTTTTAAAGAAAGAGACTCAGAACATCCAATTGCAAAGGACAACCAATGATCAACTTCAGTTCTTTCACGAGGATTGATACCACCTAAATTATATATACAATAGAAACAAATGATAAATTTGTATATGTAAAACAAAAGAATCAAATATATGTAGACTTACCATAAAGATCTGTATGGGTAGTTCTAGCAAAGTAACGACCAACATCGTTACTTCTTTCACCCAGTACTTTACCCTGGCTATCCATTAATCGAACATTTCCATCACTTTTCCAATCGTTGCACCAGACTACCTCAATTTTTTCTTTATTTTGAGATTTAATTACTTCTGCTACTATTAATGCATCTGTATGAATTAAAAACATTTAAACTAATTTCTTTTACACATATCAGTACGATATTTTATTTCAGATTACATCAGACTTTACAACTAAATACATAACTTATTGTTACAGATATAAGTGGATATAAAGAAACAAAGTAGAATCAAACTTAGTTGAAAAAAGCAAGATTTTATTGTTTTTTCTTAACTTAAATCGACAAAATGTACAACATCTGTTTTAAAAATTGCACTCGAAACAAATTTAATGTAATCATTTGAGTTTCGAAATGATAATCGTTACAATGTAACCTACCTGTCGGAGGATTTTTCGAATTAATTATAAGTTTGTAAGTCATTTTTATAAGTTGGTATTCAATTTAAATATGCAGTAAAATCCATAAATATGTTCACGTAGGTTAAAATTGTTCCATGCAACTCCACGTGCCCAATCGTATCCAATCGTGTTTTATCGTATCTTATCGTACCCTATCGTGTCCTTATATATTAAATAGAATTTGTATATGTATCACATATATATCATTCAATTTAAATAAAAGAATAAGACATCGAATCGATATTTGTAACACGATCCTGTTTTTAAAAATACTATAGTTCTGTTTATTGTTTCAGATAATCCCAAAATATATACATACTTAACCTCAATATTTTACATATTTTATATATTTATTTTGTAGATATTTATAAGTATATATATATTATATATATTTAAAAAAGCGTACATAGCATACATATATACATTTTTATTGTACTAAATCAATGGTTTTTAATTCAATAAATAAAATATTTAAGTTAATAAATATCTTATCGTCTATCGTGTATCTTATAGTATCTATATACATGTAGCTTCGCTTCTTCTGAGTTATGTTAGTCATGTAACACATTGATATTAATTTAATATTTTATTTAAATATAAATATAAACATCAAATATCATTCTTCCCGCTTTCTTCGTTGTTTCTCCCTATGCAGTTAGTTTCCTTCGATCTCTCAACGAAATGTCAATCCTCTTCTTAATAATCCATGGTAACATGTGGATGGGACTAGATTTTTTTAGAATACGTGTATGAAAGAATAGATTCATTGATTTATTTAAAATTTTCGTATGGTTTGTATTATTTTTTAGAGAACCGTTATCGAATGTTTGAGATAATGTGAATCGTTAATTTGTTTAACTTAATCCACGCCTACGTACGCGTTCCGATACCCAAGAATATTCAACAGAGAAGTATACTCGAAGGTGGGTCGGTTACCTGGAGATAACTGTAAAATGTCATCAACGAATGTGTGTCAGGCATGGATTTGATGGTACTCGGTGACACTTGTGGGATCTGTTATCACGCTAATTATGTTCTGTCGACATTAATTTGATCGGAAAGAAAGCAGCTACCTTGATAACAGCATCTTCCGCCGATTAACTCGAATGTACGTAATAGAATTTGCGTTTAAACGAAACGATCGCACTATTTCGTAGGTGCTTCTATTTTTTTTTTTCTTCCTTTGTGTACTGAACATTCGTATGGTCGAGTGCATCTTGAATTTCAAATATATCCGTCATTATAAAACAAATTATTAATTTATTATTCGTTAATGGTTTTCTAATCTCTAATTTTATGCATTTCGATTTGTGCGTTAATAACTTCGGATAAAAGGAAAATGTGTCGGCATATGCATGACTTACATTGTTAATAATAATTATATATTTAAAGGGAGAAATGAATTTATAATAATTGCAATAAATATTTATTTAATACTGGAGATATTTTTGTTTTGTTATTATAAAATGAAATCGTATTATAAATATGTTGATTTTCCAATAAATTAATTCAATGAACTAATTTATCAATATATTTACGAATTGCAGATAATAATACAGATAACATGGAGGGACCAGAAGTAACATTCTTATTTCAATTTGGTTTGACTCGTGACACTGTTACAGTTAACAGCAGCACGTTAACTCTTAAGGTCCTCAAAGAATTTGCCTGTGACTTTATAAATGCCAAGTGTCCAGAGCACGGTTTAAATCATTTGTTCGAACGATTGCTTTTATTTAAACATGATTATAATTCCACTAATATTCTACAACTCATAACTAATGCAACTGAAGTTGTAGATGAAACATTAGTGGAAATTGTCTTAACTGGTAAATTTTGTGTTTATATTATATTATATAAGTGGATTCATTTATAATGTAAGTGGTTATTTGTTCTAGCACAAGTGCCAAACGAAGAAGTTCCCATTCGTCCCCATGCTTTAACAGTTCATTCATATAAAGTTCCAACATTCTGCGATTTTTGTGGAGAAATGTTATTTGGTCTTGTTCGGCAAGGTCTAAAATGTGAAGGTACATATATAATACAAAATATAATGATTCCATCGTGTCGGTTAATTAAAGCGGTATTGTCTAATGGACACAATAATTTCGATGCATTTTACTTTTCAGGTTGTGGAATGAATTATCACAAAAGATGCGTTATTAAGATTCCTAATAATTGCTCACATGATGTCAGTCAGAGAAGGCGTAGTTCAGCAATGCTGAATGTACCCAGATCTCCGAGTCAAGGATCTACTAGTAGTTTGACCAGCATTAGCGATGATAATCATAGTACAAATAATACGCCGAATGTGAGCCAAAATAATAGTACTTTGGTAAGATTTTATATAATATGTAATTTGCGATCTACTTAGGTCGTTTGTATTAATGTAACAATTTACTATATTCAGACAATACCAAGTATAATGGCTCCAAAACAGTCCCGCTCTCCTTCGCTAGGCGGAAGACCTGTATGGGTTGAACGAGAACTTGCAGCACGTATAAAGATTCCGCATACGTTTGTAGTACACACGTATACTAGACCAACTGTATGCGGACACTGTAAAAAGTTACTAAGAGGTTTATTTAAACAAGGCCTACAGTGCAAAGATTGTCAGTATAATGCACACAAGAAGTGTATTGAAAAAATACCTAAAGACTGTACAGGAGAAAATCCACGCGACAATACAGGTTCCGTTTATTTACATTTGATTATCTAGTATTAATTGGATGATAATTGCTCTAATGAAAATGATTGTATAGGTAATGAATATCCAGACAGCGGTGTTGGCAGTGAACCTGAAGGTAAATGCGATGGTAGAAACGAAGAAGGTGACGGTGATAGCGATGCCGAATCTCCATCACCCCCTCAACATTCCTCATTCACAAGAGATGAACCAAAGGCATCTGAGGATTATACTGTAAAAATATTTTTATAATAGAAAATGTTAAATAAACGGAAATCGTCGTGTTATATAACTATTAATAATTTATTAATTTAAAAAATATTTTAATAATATTTATTTAGATTATTTTTACAGGATCAAATTCCAAGCAATGATGATATTATTTACGACGAATTTCAAAAATCAAGACCATCGAGGTAAATTATATAATCTTAATCAACTATTAGATATATAAATTTATTACTAAACTTCATTTTCATAGTTGCAGTTCCACACCAAGCAATAATATTCCTTTAATGCGTATAGTGCAAAGCGTAAAACATACGAAACGACGTGGTTCGAAAGTGTTAAAGGAGGGTTGGATGGTACATTTTACAAATCGTGATCCAATGGTGAATAATTAATATGCATACGTATAAAAATGGTTACATTAAAAATAGACGCAAAACTAAATTTAGATATTTGCAGAGAAAGAAACACTATTGGCGTCTCGATACAAAAGCCATAACGTTGTTTCAAAGTGAAAGTAGTTCCAAGTATTACAAAGAAATTCCATTAGTTGAAATATTATCAATCGAAACTGCTAAGACATCCCGTTCGAGTATGTATATAATGAATACGTTAACACTCCTTGTATTAAAAATATTTAGAATGCTAACTATATTTTAGACACAATGCATTGTTTTGAGTTAAAAACTGCCAATATTGATTATTACGTCGGAGAAGATACTTCGTATGGAGATAATTGCAGTCAAGTTTCTCCTCCAGAAAGTGGTATTGGAGCTCATATAGCTAGATCATGGGAAACTAGTATTAGACAAGCTCTTATGCCTGTAACCACTATATCAAGCAGTGTGTACTTTTTCATTTGTTATTATGTACACATACAATAATTTTACGTTCATCTTATTATTATTTTAGATCAGGAACAATCTACGGAACCAGAGGAAAATATTACAGATATGTCTCAATTATACGAGATCTTTCCAGATGAAGTTTTGGGCTCTGGTCAGTTTGGTACTGTGTACGGAGGTGTTCATCGTAAAAGCGGTCGAGCAGTTGCCATAAAAGTTATCGATAAGTTACGTTTTCCTACGAAGCAAGAAGCACAACTCAAAAATGAAGTTGCTATTTTGCAGAATCTTTCGCATAGCGGAGTTGTTAATTTAGAGCGAATGTTTGAAACTCCCGAACGAATATTTGTCGTTATGGAAAAATTGAAAGGCGACATGTTAGAAATGATACTGAGCTCGGAACGTGGCCGTCTTAGCGAAAGAGTAACTAAATTCTTAATTACGCAAATATTGGTAGCGTTGAAACATTTGCATAGCAAGAATATAGTACATTGCGACTTAAAGCCAGAAAACGTTTTGCTAAGCAGCGACAGTGAGTTCACACAAGTAAAACTGTGCGATTTTGGTTTCGCAAGAATTATAGGAGAAAAAAGCTTTAGAAGAAGCGTTGTCGGCACTCCAGCATATTTAGCACCCGAAGTTTTAAGAAATAAAGGTTACAATCGATCTTTAGATATGTGGAGCGTCGGTGTGATTATTTACGTGTCTTTAAGCGGTACATTCCCATTCAACGAGGAAGAAGATATTAACGAACAAATTCAAAATGCTGCCTTCATGTATCCACCTATTCCTTGGCAAGAGATATCTTCCGATGGTGTGTAATTTAATATTTCGGAATAAACTCTTTTAATATTCTATGATACTAAAAACCATTTTCTTTTTGCAGCAATTGACTTAATTAATAATTTGTTACAAGTTAAGCAAAGAAAACGTTATACCGTAGATAAGAGTTTGCAACATACGTGGCTTCAAGTAAGTATTTGCAAAATTATGAATAATGTTTCATAATACAAGATTAATTTTTCACTATCCTTTTTTTCTAGGATTATCAAACATGGTGCGATTTACAAGAATTAGAAGCAAAAGTAGGATATCGTTATTTGACTCACGAAAGCGATGATGCTCGGTGGCTAGCGTATAGTAATCAGCGCACATGACAGAACTCTCCGCCTATTTTAAACATCGAAACATTGCCAAATAATTTGTCGATACATAAAGGCTGGGCTCGCAGTGCTCGAGCCACATTGCGGCGTCTTATTCGTGCCTGACTTGAACAAGTATACAAAAGGGAGTACAATTTTATCTTTCATTTTAAATGTTAGATTATCGATAATAATCAACACATCATTGGTGAGCGTATCTTCCAAGATATTTTATATAGAAAATAAGAATCTTACTTAATTATAAACATGTCGATCAGACTGCAATATGTAAGATAACACACATTGAGTAAAAAATTGTAGAAAGAAGCAGCAGCAATGTTTATATAAAAATGTCAAGAGGAACTTTAATACCAAACTTGAATACGTTTCAATACTGTGAAATTTCATTACAATTAACAAATAACAAAATATACTTCAGTATATGCTACACACATAATACAGTAGTAACATTTACAACAATTATTTCTTTTATTAAGATATAAGTAATTGTTTAATGCTCTTTTATTACTTAAATATATTTCTTAACGCATAATAACATTTTATAAATAGTATATAAGAGCTAATTTCTTAATATAAACGATACAAAGTATTTTTCAGCTTGATATAGAATTCAAATGATAGCATGTTTTACAAATGCACAAATATTGCTTAAACTTAGTGGAAGTACGTAAATCTTTTGGAATTTCTCTGGAATTAATAGTAGGGTTAGATTATTATAGAAGGTACTGGAAGGAACCTTGAAACTCTTAGATTTTCATAGATAAGACTAATCTATACAAAGTTGTTTCGCATAAAATCAAAGTAACTTTTTCGCATTTTCTCTAAAAAGTGTCTGATTTTAGAATTAAAAGCTTCGATGTCTATAAATCGTGTCTGTTTTCTCAATAATATAAATTTGCTAGAAGAATCTATAAATAACAATAAATTCTGAATTACTTACACTTGTGTGATAAAAAATATTAAATAAGATCAAAGTATTTATAATATAAATAAACAGTAGTCTTCTAATGCTTCCAACTTTATATAATACAATGAATTATGCGAATATTCATCTCTATGAGAGGAAAAAAAGTTAATACTTAAATAAGTGCATTTCAGATAATTGGAAATTTATCATAAATATAATCGCTATTGTGATAAATTGTGTGTTGTAAACTAGTAAGCAAAAATTGTTGAATCTCTTCGATTATTGCTTGACAAGTTATTTTAGATATATTGAATTTTCTATTTTATTGTTGACCGACATTTTTTACGATAATTATTCTATTATTTGAAACAAAGAACATTCCAGAAACGACTTAGAAAAGATAAACTGATATCTGATGAACTATATATACTCATGCATATTTTTTTAATGCGTTTATTCCGTTTATTATATTTGTTTATGAAATGATAATGATAATTGAAAAATGATAATTGTACGAAATGGTTGTATAATATTTACGTGCACTATTGCTATTTGAAGTTAATATTTTCCGCAATGTGGTATTTTAAAATCGAATAAATATATAGTAAGTAACTAGGTAATTAAATTTATCTTGACAAAATTAGTAAGACGATAATTATAATATTAACATGATCATTTTTAATATCTTTTATTATAGTAATGTCTTTGCAATGTCTCTACTTACTAGTAACAGTGAATTATAGTGATAGGATGAGTTACACACATAATGCGAAAGTAGAAAATTCATATTGAATACAAACAATTTATCTTAAATTCAAAAATCAAATAAAAACAGATATAAAATCTTACGAAGACTGAGTTGCTCTTGAGTAGCGATATCTGGCGTTGTAACGAAAATTATTATATTAAAATTATACATTAGTTAGGTAACTAAATCTCAAACGTATAATTAATTCGAAATTTGTAATCACGAAATATTTGATTAATTATTCTATTTTATGTTCGACTTTTTACACATACCGACACTCGCACATACACAAAATTAATATAACAATGAGTGTAACACGGTGTACGATACGTGGCCTATATTATTTAAACTTTATCGTAAAATTATTCTGGTTGTATCGTACGTAATTACAATGTGCTTATTAAAGTATTTACAATTATGAAATATTGTATTAGATACAATCATAAAATTAAAGAGCTAGATTGGAGCAGTCAATACTGTTGGTGTGATAAGTCTAGATACGAAAACATGTTATATTTTATAATAAATTTTCAAGACATATACTTTTAATTACGCATAGAAAAAGTTGTGCAATGTCAATAGATATTATTATACTTAAACTGTTGTATTCGTATGAAATGCGGTATCGATAATAATTTGATACATAATATATTTTATATCTGTGGCATGCGTTTGCAAGATTTTCTTTATAAGATATGTTCTATACATATTTGTTTTGTCTATTACGGAATTTATGCAGAAATAATTATTTGTATATATTTTTAAGATTTCGATTGCGTAATATTTTTTAAATTTTGGCATAGACAATTTTAGAAGAACTAATGATGCGTTTTTTTTTTAAACTAAGTTTAAGATATTCGTAGCTATATTTAGACGAAAAGTACTTAAAAGAAAGACAGTAGTAAATTGTAACAGATTTAGATTTTAAGCGAAACTAACAAATTTTCATAAAAATATTAAAATGTTAAATCATTATTGTACTTATTATAATAATGTGAATAAATAAATTATTAATGATGATAAGCTTTACAACATTTTGTATTTACTGAAATTAAATAAATTTTAGTTTATTTAAGTTTCCAGGAAATGTGTGTAAATTGATGTCATTACAGAGAAAATGTAATCTTTCATCTTGTCCTCGTTAATTCTAACAGAACTTCTACTTGAAATAATAACATCCTGCTGAGTTACAGAAACGTGTCTCAGCATGTCCTCAGTTAGTCATCTCATAACTTAAATGAGGTACACAATATTTATTCGTCTACTTAATAAATTAAAATTCGTGCATAGAATTAATTGTTGCTATATATTACTCTTGTGTAAACGAATTACTATAAAACATTGTACTATTTAATCAATTAAAATGTTACTGCCAAATAAATTAATGAGTGCACTATATTTTGAAATATTCTTATGGAATATTAATTTGGCGGAATGGATAGAGATGCCACAGTTTTCCGACGAAAAAAAAATATACAGGTGGGTATAAATGCGTTACGTTAATGGACATTAAAACAACAATATATAGTAATATTTTTATTACAAAAAACATTTACTTATATTTTTATTACTTAAATAACTTTATTACTTAAAACATTTACACTTACATTTCTCATTCATAGAATACCTTTCCCAAAGCAAGATCAGTTTTATACATTTTCTCGAACACCTACGGAAAATCAGTTTCCTTATGAATATCAAAACGTAGCTCACGAAGATATGGTCATGGAACAAATAGCGAGTAACGAAAGTACACATGTTTTTTCGAAAGTAAAAGATTCTGTCGACGAACCTACGATTCATGAACATTCTGATGAAGAAGACGCGTTTATAACCGAATCCCAACCATACAACGAGAAGACGTTTTTGCCGACAATGGAGGTAAAGAAAAAAATACTTCAGTTCAAATTAAGAAAATTGTGTTGGAATATACGTCTAACTTTTAGGAAGAAGATATAAATGGAGAACACTTTAACGAGACTTTAGGTTCAAATGACGTAGATATTTTGAAGTATTTGCCAGTGGATGTACTTAAAAATGTTCATCAAACTTTAAAATCGCAACCTGCGACTAGCGAGGGAAAAATTTTATTTTTAAGAACATTTAAAAAAACATTAATGACTGAAATAGGTAAGAAAATATTAAGTCAATGAGAGATGATTTCAACGTGCAATGTACGAAAGTACCACACAAATATTTACAAGTAACATTTTTGTAGAGTCTCAACTTGCACAGACTATACCGGCTAATCGAGAGAAAAGAGGCACTGATCACTATGATCACAGTTACGATTACCATGAACACGCCACAGGATTCCCTTCCATAGAAGGTGCATTGATGGCTATTTCATTTCTTACTTTTGCAGTATATCTTGTTCGATTAGTCATGGTAATTATGCAAGCAATTATTTGTGACAGATAATATTGTGAATAATGATATACTTCCAATAACAATTTTTTTCAGCTTTTATTCAGAAACATGAATAATTCCGCATCGACTACTGCTGCCCCTACTTTGCTTCTTGGTAGAAGAAAAAAATCTATAAACTTATTCGACGAAGACACGATTAAAATACTTAATAGTGTGGATAATTTTTTCTCACGTTTTCAATAATGACGAAACGACTGACTCTAAGACTAATTAAATAAAAATCTTCATAGTCAAGGAAATCCTCGGTTTGCTCAATTTGATTCATAGTAGTAGATGCTCCTGAGATTGTGTTTTATATAGCTTATTTTTACAATTTAGATTGCATAGCTGATTGCAATTCAGGTAATAATACCATGTTATAATACGAACCCACTGGTCGTTTTAACGAGAGGCTTCGCAGTTCGGTAAGAATTAATGCCAATCGTATTTTATCAGCTTGGTACATACTCTGCCTTTCACATGGTACTAGAATACCTTGTGCTATGAGATTGCTTATTGTCGTATTAAATAAATCAAGAGATAACGAATACGGATGTTTCCCCCATACATTTCCTTCGAAGAATGCTACTTCTGCTTGTTTCTGTCCTTCAATCAAAAGTGCTTCTATTGTTATGTAATTCGATATTGATTCCTTCCACTGCAATTGAAAGAAGTAATCATTCATGTATACGTCATAAATGTAAAGTACAATGAAAATATATTTTTGTTTTACCTCGAACAAGACGAGACACGTAATATATATTGCATCTACAAATGGTAACATTACATTATATAAGAGAGAAAGTACTTTTAGGTTGTGTCCCTTTATATACGAGTTATTTTGAATACTTATATAATTTTTTCTTAATAACAAATTTAATGTCTCTTCCCATTCTGATTTCATCATAGATTCATCTTCTATTGCAGGCATTGCAAATTCTGTGCTAAGCAATGTTCTCAGTAATTCGTATCGTTTGAAAGCAGCTCCTATATGTAATATACTAATTATACAAAAGTTCTTTTATAAGGGGTAATGAAAGCGTCAAATGACTTCAACATTACCGATTTCAACACCTTCTACTCCTATTACTAGTGTAACAATAGCTGGTTTTATGAAAAAAGATAAAGTAGGATTTAAGTAAATGGATATATTAACAACTGATACAGCTATTTGCATAGTTTTTTCAGACAGAGTATGTCCTTTAACACGTCCATTGTTCTTTAGCTTTGTTGTTTTGTGTCTTTCTCTAAGTCTTAAATATTTTGATTCATCAAATCCAAGTAATTCTTCATGGGGCTTTAAAGTATTTAATATTTCTTCTTTCACATCACTTGTACTTGCATTGTTTTTATCGCCGAATCTGTATAAAATTTGTCTATAATAACGAATATGATATCAAACTACTTTTTAAAGCAAATCTTACCTTTCTGTATGTACTGTCGCATTGAATACTTGTAACAGATTTTTACACCATAAATAATCGCCGACTAAAGTATCCAATGTGTATGGATCATCAGGCTGTGTTTGACTTCTTTCATTGAACAATAAAGCAATTATATTGAAGGGCATGAGAATTGTATTTTTCTTGTGCGAATCTATTATGGAATAGGCCAATTTCTCAGTGACAGTTGACGATAATTTTGTATATGGCGTTAATACTTTTGTTTTACGATACTCCATACTCAAAAAATGACATGCAGAGATAGGTTCACCAATGTTAAAAAAGATGCGGCCGTAACCACAAGGTTTTTGTAAAATAGACAGAGATTGAAAGAGTCCAGTAGTAGATTCTTTTGGTTTTGGCACTCCCAAAAGTTCATATGCAAATAATAATTCTTCTGGTGGTCGCTCATAGTTTATACTTATAGGTACAAAATGTATATCAGGTACACTACCCTCTAATAAACTTTCTAGGATAGTTGAAAGAAGACCTTAAAACAAAAACAATCTTTACATTATAATCATATCAACTGATGTTTATAATGTTATATTAAAGTTACTTTTTTTTACATACCAAACTTTGGTACTATGCTCTTCAAACTTCTACTTCGTGTACCTTCTATAAAAAATTCAATTGCTCTATCACTGTGCTCCACAAGACACATTACATATGATTGAAATATTCTTTTATACAGTAAGTCGGTAGAAAAGGTACGTCGTATATAAAAAGCTCCTGTTTGCCTTAATAACTCTCCTATTATATACATTTGATAAAAATCCATTCCACTTGCAATATTTGGAAGTGCCATATCATAGGAAAATAAAATATACGACAATAATATAAAATCCAAGTAACTTCTATGAGAAGGTGCAAAAACATATTGCACTTGAGAAATCTGCATTTCTTTTTTTATTCTGTATATTGCACTTTCATTTATATAAATGCTTAAAAAAATTCTTTTAATAACTTTTGTGATAATTATACCTGAAAATCAAAATTGATATATGATTTATACTTATCCTTTTTTAGCAGATCTTTCAATTAATAGGTAAAATTAATACTAAAGATTTATTTTTTACCTATCCAACGAACAGTAGGCAATCTTGCTTTACTGGCCATTTCATTTGCCATCATACTAGCCTCCTTTACAACTTTGCTTACATCGACCTTGCGTAACTTAGCTAAAGATGCAATTGTTAACTTAACTCTTTCATCATTTAGCACAGCTTGAATCATTTGTTGTCTGGAATACTTAGATTCTGGAGGAAGCTTATGCGGTGCCAATGATTCCATAGGTCTAGAAGCCCATAAAATATCACAATCATTTCTTCTAGCAAGTAATAAGTCCACAAATTCTGGGAGTTGTTCCATGTTGAAGATAAAATGATTATAATAATTTCATTAGTCTGTGAAATCGTCAACCACGTACATGTACGTTTCTGAAAAAACAAAACCGAAATAAAGTCCAATGATCAAATTCTGCTAATTTTCAATTTAAATGTCGTTTACTGAAGATTCCTCATAAACCGCGTTACTTTAGCACATATATATATATATATATATATATGTACATACTCAATCGCGCGTTCATAGGTCACGATGGAGATTTCTTACATATTACAGTGGTGTTTTCTTGTTTTATATAAGTATTCATTAGCAAAAATTATTGTTTAAATTACAATAATATTAGCAAGTAATTGACAGTTTCATCGTCCTAAAAAAAACTGTTGAAATTTTGTATGTAATTAGTCTATTATTCTGTTTCAGAAATATAAAATGTTATTTTTAGTTACAATTATTTATGCATTTGATAGTAAATTTGTTTAAAAGACAAGAATTAATTTTTTGTAATATACATCGATGTTATAACACATTGACACCGGTGTTGACCGGCGTAAATTTAGATCGTGTAAAGTTTACACTATACTGTAAACGAATCGTACGTTATTAGTTCGCAATATATCCGCTTGGCGCTACGTACAATTTCTTGGCTTTTATTCTGTCTAGGAGTCGTCTGGACTTGTGATTTTAAATGAGGTATTGCCTTTTTTGAAGTGTTCCTCGCGTGGTTGCGTGTTACAAATACTAACTTAGTGATTATGGGTGGTGAAGAACGCTTAGGGGTGACTACCGGTCAACCAAATCTGTATAAACAAGATCTTTCAAAGCTAGTAAGTAATATCTGTAACGATCTGTCTCCATATTCTGACAAGCATTCGTCGTGTTTCGTATAACCTCAATTCTTACCGTTAGCATACTGTATTGCTTAACGATTGCGTTGATTCGAATGAAAATGTGTACTAATACGTGTCAAGAAATGTGATACGGCATCCGAAAGTTTTCTTATCGCTTCTTTTGTTTAGGGATAATTATTAATAACATAACTTTGATTTGTAGCGATTTCATTACGTTCACAGTAATTTATGCATTTTTTTTTTCAATTTAAATTCACTAAATTGTTTTATTGTTCAGGATGTTAGTAAATTGACTGCGTTATCACCCGAAGTTATCAGTAGACAGGCTACGATTAATATTGGTAAATATGATACATGTCATGTTAAAATTTATTTTACAAACAATTAAACGTTATAATTAAATTTTTGTACAGGTACCATTGGTCATGTAGCGCATGGAAAATCTACGATTGTAAAAGCTATATCAGGAGTACAGACTGTTCGTTTTAAAAATGAATTAGAAAGGAACATTACAATTAAACTTGGTAAGTAGTTTGAAGTTTTCATATCACTCTGACTCAACATCTTCTAACTAAGGTTTGCACATTTTTAATGAATGATAGTATAACATCTTAGTTAATAATTTAACATTTTAAGGTTGAATTAATTTTTTGTATCATTCATCTTACAAATATATTAAAAATTTGTTATTAGAAGATTATAGCTTCATGTACCCAAATACTAATTGGCTAATTAATTAATAACCAAATAGCTGATTATTTAATTTCTAGGACTTTTTATATGCACATTCATCGTTGATATGGATCTGCAAACAAAATAATAGGCTTAAAAACAAAACACAGTTTAAGGATGTGTATTTGCTAAGTATTTTAATAAATCGGTAGATTCTATCGGCACATTCTGTTTTAACTATTAACTTTGTAGTAATTCTAATTTTCTATTCTTTTGAACACTAGAATAAAGACTTTATTCGTATTATATTTGTAGGGAAATAAGATTTGAAGAATTTTATTTACCTTTTGACGTATAGGTGGCGCGTTGAGTATTATCCAACGGTCGCCATTTTGTAGAATAAATGTTTTCTAAGATCGCGGGTATCCAAGATCGTTTCGTAACTGAAAAAGTATTTAATCATTTATAAAATCATGCTTATTCTGTACCTTATGCAGCCATTCTAAATCTACACTTTTATTTCCTTTCTTGGTGTTAATAGTAACAACAACATGCTTCCGTTATTTTCGTTTGAATGATTTCACGTTATTTTTTATATTAGTATAATATTGTTTATAACAATGAACAAATTTTCAAAATGGATTTTATTTATTTTGTTTTTATGATTTTTTTTATAAATGTATACGTCTGTGGATTAATATGTACAAAAAAATTGTTTCGTAAATTAAGTGGGGTTAGATATATTTATTAGCAAGTAATAATTTAACTTTTGGTTCACTATTTTTTATCTGTCATTGATTTATTTTGATTGTCATTCTTTATTGCTATTGATATGCAATTGATTAATAAATATGTTCTAGATACTACATGAAAAAAAGTCATTGCATATGAATTTGAGAAATTAAAATCTATTGATTAAAGCATACCTTAATATTTTGTTTAAAAATCGCGAAAGTTTTAAAGAAGACTGAAAAAAGAAGTGTTTTTTCGATAAAGAGTTATGCATGTAAGTATAATGCTATTTATATTATAAATTAAAACTTAAATAAAGGTAAGTATTGTTATATATGTTAATGAATTTCTTAGCTGCTTATGATTGACTTTTCCTGCATATACATATTAAGCATTTGCTGTATTAATTTTTACAATTAAGTGTGAATGTACTATATAATAATATTTGTTTTGTACTTGTTTTAAAAGTAATAAAGTATACAATTTTTTTATATTGAAGTTAACACGAATTTCATTTGTTGGAATCCTGAAATTAATATTTTTAAACACATACTTTTGTGATAGCTCTCCAGTGTTTGCTCTGAATCTAGCCTTGAATTTAGTAATTTTTAAACAACAATTATCCATTCAATCGCATAGAACTTGTTTTTAAGGTGTGCTTTAGTCAATTAATATTTCTGTATTTCTAAGGATGTGTTAAATATGCATATTGTATAAATTAAACACGAGGGATATAACTTCACCATTTTATACGAGGCACCTTCCTTTGCACAAAAGTTCTATGAATTGTATCGATTGCCTCGTAATATCACCACTTGCACATCTCTCTTAGTAAACAAAACAGAAGAATGAAGAGGATTTGAGGGATTTTCAGAGTACAAGGTGATTCATTAATGCTAAGAAAAAAGAGAGGCACGATAATACACGTTAAACGAAATATGGGAAAATATGACTGAAGAGAATGACATCCTTTAAATGTTTGGCATTACAGACGCTCGTGCAGTGGAGGATACCAAAGGGAACCAAGAAGACACTCTTGGCTACGTGAGAAAAATGTCTTCTACACATGACAAAAGACCAGCTTCTCCAGGAAACATTCAGCCATCCGCCAAACAACCGAAGCGCGAACAGATATTAATATCTTCCTCTGGAGATATTAATAAGGATGGTACTGTTAATTCGTCGGCAAGAAATTTAAGTAACATCTTTTTCAACCGAGAAGTTGAACAAGTCACAAATGCGAGTGGAAGAAAAAGAGACTCGCGTCTTTCTGAGAATAGAGAACCTGGCACAGAAAAGAAAAGACTGAATATATTAAATATTAATAATAGTACTAGTACCGATGATAAAGACGATAGCGATATAGAAAAATTACAGTTAAAGAACGATTTAAAACATATTCAGTTAAAAGAATTGAGGATTATATTGAAGGATATGAAATACGATACCAAAAATAGAACGAATACATCGTCGTCAGGAAACGATTTATGGGAAGTAGAGAAGATTCTTGGAAAAAAAGAGAAAGATGGGATGATAAATTATTTAATTAAGTGGAAAAATTGGGGCCCGGAGTACAATAGTTGGGAACCAATGTCGAATTTGGTACATTGCACGGATATATTAGAAGATTTTGAGAGAGAGAGATTGAAATTGCTCAATAGTTTCAAGAAAAAGGCGAACTTTTATCCGAACAATCAAGACATCGAGGAATTCTTAAGGGAACTTAGATACAAGGGGAAAATGATAACGTCGATCTCGACAGAGCACAATCAATTATTTACCTCTATGAGAAATTTCTTGAAACAAAAATTTGTTAAAAATAATAAATTGCGACTTATACAAGACGGTATCCTTTGTATGTTGATCTGTGATTTGAGAAGAAAACAGTTGGACACGTTGAATGCCTGGGAAAACGAAATGAACAGTATCACTAAAGGTAAACCGTTAATACGGGTTGAAAACGAAGTAGATCTAGAAGAAGCACCTCAAGATTTTTATTACATAGACGAATATTTGCCTGGCGCTGGAGTGATAATACCTGATGATCCACCTATCGGTTGCGAATGCAAAACTCTATGCAACTCTAAAGCAAAATGCTGTTTTACTCAGTACGGCAGATTCTGTCCCTACACTACGACATCGAAGATACGAGTTCCACCCGGGACACCAATTTACGAATGCAACAAACGATGTACTTGCAACATGAATTGCGTAAATCGAGTGGTCCAACGTGGCACCGAGATGCAACTCTGTATTTTTAGAACTACCAACGGTAGAGGTTGGGGTGTAAAAACTTTGCAAGCGATCAAAAGGGGTTCCTTTGTAACGCAATACGTTGGGGAAGTGATTACGAACGAAGAAGCGGATAAACGTGGCAAAGAATACGATGCTGCCGGTAGAACCTACCTCTTCGATTTAGATTATAATGAGACTGAAGAACAGTGTCCTTACACTGTCGACGCTGCGATGTATGGCAACGTCTCTCACTTCATTAATCATTCCTGCGATCCAAATTTAGCGGTCTACGCTATTTGGATCAATTGTCTTGATCCTAATCTCCCTAAACTCGCTTTATTCGCGACCAGAGATATCAAAAGGAACGAAGAAATCACTTTTGATTACATGTGCCAATCTTCGAAAAATAGCGACAATTCTATAAGACAAGATGTATCGATAACGGAGGATTTAAATACCATTATCACAGAAAAAGATTTCGAGATACGACCAGACACGCCGGAATCCGATTTGTCGAATAACAAGACTTTATGTAAATGCGGGGCTCAAAATTGTAGACGATATTTATTTTGAATTTGAATTTGCAAGATCGTTATATTATATTAGTATTACATAAAGTTATGCAAATACTGACTTAAGTTTTAGCTGTTTTAATAATCCTGTTTGAGAATTACGTACGTTTTGCAGGAGTAAACCAATCTATTTGGTACTAAAATCAAAGTCTACATTTATAATTTATTGTTCACTCTAGTAAACATTATTTTTCTTTTACATTATGTTTAAATTACGTCAGGTAAGTGGATCGAAGTATTTAAGAAAGTATATGAATGCAGATAATGTTACAATGATTGTTGACAAGCACTTGCATTTGTCCAAAGTAATTGTAAAGGAATTGTTAACACATCAATCGGAAATGATATATTTTATAATTTTGACGTCGATGTTTTTTCACGAACTTAATGGCCCAACATGTTCATTCACTTCAATACAAGGTGACTTGCGTTTCACTTAAGTATAAACAATTACTGTGACTCTCTATACATTATAATAATGTTCAGATAAAGGAGATCGATTGTTTGTATAGAAAAACATTTATGATTTTAGAAGAGAACAATTATTTTTGTTAAACGAATTAAATGTTATCTGTTAGACTAACGTGACAACGAATAGAGGTGCAATTACAATGGCTTACATAATTGATTAAGTTTTTTAATAAGTATGCGCATTTTGATTTTGACAACAAAAGAAGATATTAGAATAGAAACAGAACTCACTTTACAGTTTTCTTCGAGTATCTTCTTTCAGTATCTGCTCAAATCGTCTTCCGTTCGTTCTTGCAGAATTCACGAACATAGTAATGTTCGTTACTTAGTCGTTCTATCTTCAGTTACTTTTGTTTAATTATATAACATACGTTACCATTTATATAGTCATAAATAATTATGTGGCCTCCGCCAAACTTGAGTGTCAAGTAATCATAATGTAGTGTCTTGTTTACTTTTCAAATTCTTGAAAAAATACATGTGCGTGTGACGCGTATTGTGATATTTTCTGGAATTTGTAAAACATCCGTTCAATTGTGTGAGTCGCTGTATATTGTACGACTTGTTTGTATATTTTTCAATTTAACAATAGAAACCGTGGATAGTGAGTTTTCAAGATTATTTGTTTTTATACGTGCATCCTCTTTCACTGGTATGTCCTTTTCTGCAGAGAAGTAGTTACATTCTATCTCCTTTGTATTAATGTTTCTGTGAAACTATGATACCGTGTCATTACGTAAAATTAGCATTTAATTTTTTAGTTCGTCTGATTATGAAATAACATTATTATATTGATACTATGTAGTAGACAATTTTTTAATCAAACGAGACAAAGTGATACAATTGAACTCGATATAGAAGGACGCTATACGCGTCTTGCTTAAAACTTAACAAAATGTTCGTGTAACAATTTCAGTAAATCTTTAATGTTATGCACGCACACACTCTGCATACTGTATTGTAAGTTAAAATTTTCTAACGATCTTTAAACTATAGAAAAATCGAAAGTTAAGAAAATTAATCTTGAAGATTTATTATTCTCCTATAAATCAATCAAGTTATACCGAAGTTAGGCAGTAGTTCTACAATTTTGTACCTTTGTTTTGCTAGTAGAAAATTGAGTTACTTAGAAGCAAATATCTTAATTTACATTTTTAAATTATTTAAAGTTATACATGTGTATAAGAATATTTGGTGTTCTCTTTATGTACTTGTAATGCACAAATGAATAAATGTTAATTGTTACATCGATAATCGACCTTTTTTTTAATGCGATGATATTAATATGTAAAATATTAAAACTCGACCTTTCTTTAACTTTCCTCATAGTCCTAGCGAATGTATGTAATCGTTTGATAATTAACACAATTTACTTTTCATAGTTTGTATAAAGTTTTATCAAAATTTTAAAAGTGTATCGATGACAGAATTTACGTCGAAAAAAAATTTGTCAACAAATTTATACTTCAGTCGGAGGGTAGAATTCGAAAAATTAAAAAGAGAAAGAAAGAAAAAAGCTGTTCCATTAAAGTAATACAACGAATCTGTTTGAATTTGTTTCAGGGTATGCAAACGCAAAGATTTACAAATGCAATAACGAAAAATGTCCAAGACCAGGATGTTACATATCCGGAGGATCAAGCAAAGATGATTTATTCCCATGTCTGCGCCCAGTTTGCTCCGGACGGTTTGAGCTGGTTCGTCATGTATCCTTCGTTGATTGTCCAGGACACGATATCCTTATGGCAACCATGTTGAACGGCGCAGCAGTCATGGATGCTGCTTTGCTTTTAATTGGTACTTAATTGATACAAGTTTTGCTATATCTTTTGTAATATTTTATCCATTGCGATATTACACTGTAGACCGTATTAATATTATTTATTTATAGCTGGCAACGAATCGTGTCCTCAGCCACAAACGTCGGAGCATTTGGCTGCTATCGAAATTATGAAATTAAAACACATTGTAATTCTGCAAAACAAGATAGACTTGGTGAAAGAAGCTCAAGCAAAAGAGCAATACGAACAAATCTTGAAATTCGTCCAAGGTAATATAGCCTTGATAATAGGTTTTCGAATCATTGTTCCATTTTCTCCGATACGTGTTAATAAACAAATAATACTTTTCTTTTAAACAGGTACAGTAGCTGAAGGAGCCCCCGTTATACCAATTTCCGCACAATTAAAATACAATATCGAGGTCTTGTGCGAATACATCACAAAGAAAATTCCAGTACCATTAAGAGATTTCACATCAGAGCCCCGATTAATTGTAATTCGATCATTCGACGTGAATAAGCCGGGCTGCGAAGTAGATGATTTGAAAGGAGGCGTTGCTGGAGGAAGTATTTTAAGAGGAGTATTAAAAGTACGTTAGAAGTATATTCTTTATATATCTTCGTATCGTATACGTTGTAACTTAATACGTTTTTTAGGTGGGCATGGAAATTGAAGTACGACCTGGACTAGTATCGAAAGACAGCGAGGGAAAATTGACTTGTAGACCTATATTTTCACGAATAGTATCATTATTTGCCGAACAAAACGAACTCCAGTTTGCTGTACCGGGTGGTCTTATCGGTAAGTTACGTTACATACATTTAAAAAATATATTAAAGGAAAAAAGAAAGATGTGTATAGTCTTTGTGCGATAAATTTTAAGGTGTTGGGACGAAAATCGAACCAACATTGTGCCGAGCGGATCGTTTGGTGGGTCAAATTTTGGGAGCTGTCGGAGCCTTACCAAAAATATTTATTGAACTTGAAATATCATATTATCTCCTTAAACGTTTATTAGGGGTCAGGACAGAGGGCGATAAAAAAGGAGCAAGGGTAAGATTGTTACATGAAAGTATTGCACGTTTTTTATGTTAACAGTTTGTAACTGTTAACGATACTATTTGATAATAGGTACCGAAGTTATCGAGAAACGAAGTGCTCTTGGTCAATATCGGGTCGCTAAGTACCGGAGGTCGTGTACTAGCGACTCGCGTCGATTTAGCTAAAATTAGCTTGACGAATCCCGTCTGTACAGAAATCGATGAGAAGATCGCGCTGTCGCGACGCGTTGAGAAACATTGGCGTCTGATTGGATGGGGTCAGATATGCGGAGGACAAACTATAGAACCGGTTATAGATCGAAAATAATTCTACGAATATTACAGAAAAGCTGAAAATCGGTATAAAAAAAAATTGAAAATAATTTCTACAACGAGAAATGTTGCTTGAAATGTTTATAATAAAGTATGAAATACAATTTATGTATATAATGCATTATTCCCTATGATTCTTTCCTATATAATAAATATTCTCTCCGTTACTACCGATGCTCGATTAACTGAAATTGATTCTATAAAATTTGGCATAATTTAAAATAAATACATAAGTATAATTAAATATTTTATTTTCGTTACGTTAAATTAGGTATCCATACATATCCCGGTTGAATGTAAGAAATTGACATTGAAACACACGCCAATACTATAGGTGAGTTGTGTGCATCTTGTAGTAAGCGATGCAATTCAATTGGTTGCAAAAATGGATCATCTTGCCTAAAATAGAAACCAAAATACGTTGTGTTCCGTATGACATAAAGATAGTATGCTACTAACAGAAATTAGTTACCTTATTACAACTACTCGGTAGAGTGGAGGACCAGGATTTGCTTTTCTATAATTTTGAGTATTAGAATAAACATTATACGATATCTTGTATCTACTTTTCTTCCGTCTTACAGTTTTCTCGGGTGCGGACTTAATTATTTTAAGTTTACTAAAAATTTCTTCCAAATTACTCGCATTCTTTGGCCCGATAAGCGGACTCTGTAATTTTCCAACTACTTGTACTTCGTCGCAATCTTCATTCCCGTCTTTTTGCGTATCCTCGTCATCGATAGTAATTGTTTTTTCTTCGCGCCATTTGCTTTTTAATTCTGACCAGGAAGATGCTCCTGGGAGTATTTTGAATGATGGCTGATAAACTTCATCGTTATAATTCGATAATGTATTTGAATTTCTATATTGATTTCGTGGGTAATACCTTTGACGAGGTTCTGAGGGCGATAGGTTTCTAGCTATGCTACAATGAATTGACGTATTTTGTACGATTCTATGGTGATAAAATTTCCTTGGCGGTAATGAATTCTGATGAAAATTATGATAAAACTGGTTTCGACCAAACAAATTTCTCATCATGTTGTTATACACGTTTGGTACTGAAAAATTGTTCATTTGTACAGACATAAATCTATTTTGGTGAATAGCTGCGCTATGATTCTCGAGAGCGACAAACACGTTCTGAAACATAGTATTCCTATGATGCCAAAATGAATTTTGGCTGTATGCAAATGGCATTCTATTATTATACATGTAATTAGTATTGAAGTTTGTATACTGCCCACGTTCCATAGAGAAGTAATTTTGTGTATAAACATTATGTATATTTGTTTCTAAATTTTGATTATATGTAGCAACATGTGTATTTCTTCTGGTGGTATTATTCATAGATACGTCACTGCATTGAAGTACATTTTGACTTATACTGTTATTCGAATTATCTAAACTTTCTTCAGGTAGCAGTCTTCTGTCTATTTCTTGTGAATTTTTCGAGTGTGCATTTTCGTAATGATAAACAGTTTTATACGGTTTTATTCGATGGGGTATATAACCTCTTGAAGTATTCACTGTAACTGTAGATTGAGATGCAATATTTGGAATTAAATTTAATATGTCCATTCGTGTCATAGGCTGTGGTACTTCTTGAATCTCATCATCTGAAAGCTCTATAACCTAATTAAAAATACAATAATCGTAATACTTTAATTTAGTATTTTAACATTATAAATATCATGATGGAATTATTATTATATATATTACCTCATGTTTCGATTTCTTGCATTGCGATTCCTTGTTAGATGGTGAAGATAGTTTATGTTTACCTAAATTATCTTCAGAACTTTTAATATTAGAATCAAGTATAGCAATATCGGTAGGTAGCGATACTTTGTCAGTTCTTTTGGGTAACAACTTGACGTTTCGTTGTATGCGCGATGATCGCCAATCAGTCATTGAACTATTTCTCTTGATAGGATTATTCACAGGTTCTGTAACAATTTTTATACTACCTAACAAGGTTTCATCTGATATAATTTCTACTTTAGAGTTTCGTTTCCTTTTATCTTGAGGAATTTTTTCTGTCTGTGAATTAGTATCCAATGTCATACAATCCTCTGTATTATTTTTACACTCAACGTTTGCATGTCGAGTTTCATCTTCTACCATGTTAAGCAGATCATCTACAACTTTATATACACCTTCTGATATATCAGCATCACTGTATAAATGAATATTTTCATGATCATTAACATGTTTCTCATCATGTATATATGTACAATTTTTAGTTTGCTGTTGAGTATCAGACATCCATAGACCATTTTCAGGTTCTATGATGACTTTACGTTTTATGTTAGCAATTTCGTCGTTCTTTACATTTTTTTCTGAATCATAAATGAAACGTTGTATACGATAACCGTAACGTACTAATTGATTATAAACTCTGTATTCATCTATTGAGCACTCAACATTATCGATTAAAAGTTCATAGGCTTGTTGAATGGACAATGGTACATCATTCCATGTAAGTTCCAAACAGTTCTAAAACAAAATAGTGTCTTACTTTTTCTCTGCCGTGTTAGACAACAATCTAATTCTTGTTATAAATAATATATTTAAACCATATGATAACATACAGCTTCTAAAAGAAATAATGCTTCTTCTGGTATTAAATACAAAGCACCACTTTTATCTAGACCAAAATTTCCCCAATCTTGACCAGAGTGTTTTTTCACTCTAGCTCTTTTTTCCAGTGGCAACCATTCAGCACTGGCTAATTGAGAAATACGATCTACTCTTTCTACAGCTATTAAATTTTTCCTAGCATTTATACCCTTTTCAATTTGCATATTTTGTAACCAAGAGTTATCTGGCTCAAATTGTTTTTTTCCAGTCTTTGGTAGAGTTTTAACCGACCTCTCATATTCATCCCATGCATTGTACTTAATACCTTTATGTTGTAGGAGTTCTTCAGCTCTATAAAATAACAATTGTTAAATTATTTTAAAATTGTTGGTATTAATGACCAACTGTTAAGATATACTAAAATATTGTATGCATAAAGAAAACTTACGTTAATACATTGGTGGCTAACTTTTTCCCCTTTTCTGTCATTCTCTTGCTCTTTTAGCGCAAATTTAAAAAATATTTTGATTCATCCACCTATTTTGTAAATACAAAGGGTCTTGTTACCTGTATCATTAAAAATGCAGTAAATTCTTTGTAAGAACATGTAAATTCATGTAATTAATTTCTACCTTTGATAATTATCTTTAATAGCAAGACTTATGGATGACACAAATATTTCTATCTAGTGTAGATTATTATTATTAATTCTATTTGTATGTTGAGTTGAACTGCAAGAAACGTACAACAGAACTCCGAAATATGCCGGTAGGAAACATTAAATAAAAGTACATACGTAAAAAGTCAGTGACATTTAAGTACGTAGTACGTGTATTAATAAAATAAAATCATATATATATATATACATTTTTTAAATAATTTTTATATATACAAATGCCTTAGTTGTGCTTCATCTTGTTCTGTGGTAGGGAATTTATGCGAGGTTAAAATAGTTTATTGGATTAATACGAGTGGCGCCATCGGTGGCAAAATGTTCGAGTTCGTAGTGAAAATAGTTCTCACTGTTTCTGCTAGATGGTGCTATGGTATTAAACGGGTTTTATACTAGTGGCGTCATCAGTAGCAAAACGCGTAAGTTTGTAGTGAATATAGTTACCGCCTTTGTTACCAGATAGCGCCACTAAATGAAGTACACTGTAAAATCAGATAAATAATTAAACCAGTAGATTGAAATAATATATTGTACAGTTGTGAAGCAGAAAATTGTAATAATTATAGATTTATGAAAAATAATAAATAATTTACTAAAAAGGTGTCGATGGCGTCATCTAGCAGGAACAATGAAAACTATTTTCACTACAGACTTGAGCGGATTGCCACCAATGGTGTTACTGACAAAAGGCTTCGATAATTATTCCTACTTTAACTATTAATAAATTAATAAATTTGACAAATTAACACATACTTTTATCATTTTCTTATTTTTGCACATTTATTATTTTTATTTAAATTGAAGCTTCGTTTAGGAAAAAGAAGTTTACATTACTTTTAGTAGAAATAATGATTACAGGTTCGCAGTCTGAACTTATAGATCCTGATACATGTGTAAAAGCAGATGAATGTTTAAATAATATATTAAAATAATTAATTGTAATGTTATAAAGCAAAGAATTGTGGCTTCACTTTGTCATTTGCTTTCTCTTTCGCACATTATTTCAAAATGGCAGCCGCTACGGACGAGCTGAGTAAGTAATCCCGAAAAAAATCAATTAATATTGTTTAAAAATGTTGTTTTTAGTAACGACGTAAACCACGTCGTTAATTATGCTCTAGGCTATTTAATAGAATCGTGTTTACTAATGATTACTACAGTTTTAAAGGTATTATGACCCATTAAAGAAAGTCAGTTGTCATGCCGTGTTGCAGAATGCAACTTCAATTACATCGTTCCTTATTATTTAAGAAATAATTTTGTTCATTTACAAAAGCATGTTACTATCTTGTCATACTTTCAGCGACAATATTTTTGAACACAAAATATATTTCTTAATATGGCTGTCCAACTAACTGATTATTAAGTCATCATATAAAATAGTAAACCACATCCATTGGTATATATTATTTTTTGCTGCAGTAAGAGAGTACTATTTGACTACTGTCAAACCAGATCAATATTCCAGTATTATTTAATGCTTGTGAGTTAATTTATGAATTTGTTCTTTCACATTAGTCTTGCTGGAGAGAGTGTTTCTCCGATTGGGGTCTGCAGAAACCGATGAACAATTACAGACATCTGTCTGTAAATTTTTGCCTCCAGTGTTACTTAAGTTATCCAGTGCACAAGAGGGTGTCAGGAAAAAAGTAATGGAGCTACTAATTCATATAAATAGAAGAGTAAAAAGTAGGCGCCACGTTCAGCTTCCAGTTGAGGCACTTTTATTACAATATCAGGACCCAGCTGCCAGTTCATTTGTGATTGTATGCCATTAATTTAAATTTTTAATTTAAATAATTTTTCATACAATCGGAATTAACTATTACTTTATTAATTGTTACTTTAAACATTTGCAGAATTTTACAATAATATATATAAAACTAGGTTACCCTAGGATGGAAATGGATAAGCAAGCTAAGTTAGTTCCAAGTGTACTGAATGCCATTGAGGGAAAACCATTGTCTCATCAAGATAGGTTTGTAATTAATCAAATTTAGAATTATTGAAACAATCTTACCAAGGCAACTATTATATCTAAATAAATATTTCAGTTTATTACTTATTATTATGCCTGTGTTGGGTCATATTGATGTCCCTATGGATCCAAATAAACGGGCATCTCTCCTTGGTTTGCAAGATAAACCTTATGTAGCAAAACAGTTAATCAATTTCATGCTGGATGTATTATTACTACCATATGGGTAAGGTCATTTTATTTATCTGAAAGTAATTGTGCTAATTTAATACTATAGAAAATTCTTACATTAAATAGGTCGGTAGGGCAAACAGAAAATCAACAACCAGGTCAAACAATTGATTGGTCACAATTTCCTGTACCACCAGGGTTAAGCGAATATGCGTTCAAAAGAGTAATAGGTGAAAATCCACCAACAGCAGAACAGCTTGAACAAACAAAGCTGGGAATTGTCAAATTTCTTGCAGCAGGATTTTTTCCTGATTCAGATATCCTTGTCCATTTGATAGTAGCAGCTGCAGATACTAGATTCAGTGTTGCTAATATGGCAGACTTGGAATTGAAAAAGATTGTTAAGTACGTCTTAGAATGTATTCGTATGCTTTATAACAATTTTTTAAATAGAAAATATTAAATATTTAAACACTTTCTCCATGTAAATTTGCAGTACATTAGATTGGTCTTTGGCTCAGTTAGCTGCTCCGCTTTACACATTATTTTTGGGTACCGACGCTTTAGCAACACAAAAAGAAGTCAAGCCAGAAATGAAGCGACTGCCTGCGAGTATCCGAATTCGTCTAAAACTGTTGCATTATCTTTGCCGTGTAACTAAAGCTGGATTTATTATACCGTCATGCATTCAGGTATGTACTGTAATAAAGTTTCATTACATTTCCCGATATTTAACTTCGAATCGCTTACAGGTAGTTTTCGATTCGCTTTACGGAAAGAATACAAACGCAAAGTTAAAGTCAATGGCATTACAATTTACATCAAATATTGTACAACAGTAAGTATGATATATAATGAGTCTTATTTTTATCGATCAAGATATAACGTACTTAATTCTTTTAGATGTAGCCTTACACCACTACCACACGTGGCTGGTGTTATTTTAGATGGCATGACAAAATTGATTTCCGAGGGATCTGCAGAAAAACGAGAGTCTGGCGTTTGCGCCGAGAATCACAAAGTAATGGCATACACTGTTATCGGTCAAATGGGACAAAGAATTCCATCGCTGATCAATAAAAATTCAAATTTGTTACGTAATCTATTTGATACGCTCGTGTCGGTAAGTAATTAATGATAAAATACACAATAAGTAGAAGAGATGTACATTTATGTTATTAGAAATTTATATTTTTGAGTCGATTTTTTTGTGGTGTTTTAGACTGAAGGTGATTTACAAAGAGCAGCACGGGACGCGCTAATTTCTGTAACGTCTGCATTTGTACTTAGTAAAGACGATGAAACTAAAATAGCTTTAATGAATGATTTATTATCCAAGTATATCGAATCGCCGGAATCTAACGTCAGGTATGGATGTATTCATTAAGCGAATATCATTTACATATTAAAGAATAGTTTATGTTGTATTTCTTATATACGTTATTTTTCTTGAGAATAGATTCGTGGCTATGCATTACGCTGCAAACGTATTCCCTTCCGAAGACGCACCTTCTCGTTATCTTTTGTTGTTAGCATGTGGAGACGATAAACACGAAATTAGTACAGAAGCCATGAAGGTTTTATACAGTGTTTTGAATAAAAACGAGAACGATAAACAGGATAGCAGTCAGGTTTTGTTACCAGATTTTCAAAAACTTGTTATTTACATTTATTCAAAGATGCAGACAAGAATGCCCACTTCTAGCGGCGGAAAAGTGAACGTCGAGAGTAAAGTACTTCCATACAGTATCGCTATTTTTACACAGGTAATTTAACATAGAAATAATATATTGCGAATACGTCATGTTTTCTTTTTTTAATGGAAAGAAAAAGTAATAATTTGTTCTGTTATAGATGATTACTTATCTTCGTATTTGTTTAGCAAACAGTGCTAATGTTACTGTACATAAAGAACCGCTGCAACATCCTTGCGAAAGTACACCGTTAATTGCACGTTATCTAGAAAACCTGTACAAAAATCGACCAGAAACGTTAAACAATTATTTTGATATGATTTTAATACTTAATCATGCTTCTGCAGGTAAGATTTATAATTACAGGTATTAATTATAACTATTTGATGATAATGAACATCATATTACGATGTATCTTATACACTGCAGATCAGTCATCTCTACAAGCTTTATTGGAAGTGATCGGTTCTGTGCCACAGTATGTAACGAAAATTTATGAAAAAGAGCTGTTGTGGCTTCATAATTTACTTGCATCTGTTAAGCCAAATGTAAGGCAATTAGCTGCTAAAATATATGGCATAACAACTGCTCAGCTTTCCACAAATGACTTCGAGGGTCAAATTTCTGAGATTACGAACATCATGAATAAGAAGAACTTGGAAGCACAACACGGAGCATTATTAACCTTAACGTACATGATGGAGAGGAGAATAATTTTTCGAAAAACTAACCCAAATGATGCTTTCTTCAATTTAGATGTTTATATTAATGTTGTGAAAATGATTTGTATGTATACATGTTTCTGTATAATCGCGAAACATCTTTGTATTCTATTTTGAAACAATTTTTTTTAGTCACTTTCCTTCGCGATAATACAACATTGTTAATGGATGCTGCAATTCAAAGCATTGGTATTTTGGGGAAAACATATAGTTTACCATTACCTAACGAGGGCGAAGGTGAACCAAACAAGAAAGCCATTGTCGAAATACTATTTTCCGTCGTGAATAATGTCAAATTAAATACTAAGGTTCATTTACTAGCAAAGATTATTTAATTATTTAAACCACATCGTAAGTAGCGTTTGGCGTATAAGTTTATCCTTTACAGATTAAAGAAAAAGCTGCTCTCTCATTGGGATATTTGTGCGTTGGAGAAGAATTTCCACATACCGAGGAAATTGTGAATAAAATAATTGCAACAGTTAAAGATGTAATTATCGACTTTTATGTAATTGAAATTTTTACCAGTAGATAAATATTTAATTTTTATGTATTGTATAGACGAAAGACATTGAGATGCACTTAATTATGGGAGAAGCATTGGTTTGCTGTGTTCAGGGACAAGCGTCTCCAGAGGGACGGGATGCTTGGACAATATTGTCAAATGAACATAAAGTACCTTACAGTAATGCCAGTACCGAACTTTT